TAGATATAATGGTCATCAGGATTAAATTCTCCCATTCTTGTCCATTTTAGTTCACTGATTTTTAAGATGTCGATGTTCATTCTTGCTGTCTCCTGCTTGATCACGTCCAACTTACCTTGATTCGTGAAACTAACATTCCAGGTTCCTATGCCATATTGTTCTTTACAGCATAGGACTTTACTTTCACCACCAAACACATTCACAGCTGAGTGTCGTTTCTGCTTTCGCCCTGCTGCTCCATTCTTTCTGGAGCTATCCATAATTGCCCTCTGCTCTCCTCAGTAGCATATTAGACACCTTCCAACCTGGGGGTCTTGCCTTCTCATGTCACATCCTTTGGACTTTTCATACTGTTCATGGGGTTCTCGAAGCAAGAATATTGGACTAGTTTGCCATTCCCTCCTTCAGTGGACCACTTTTTGTCAGAACTCTTCACTATGACCCATCCAACTAGGGGGGTCCTGCATGGCACGCCTCATGGCTTCATTGAGTCACGTAAGCCTCTTAGCCACGACAAGGCAGTGATCTGTGAAGGAGAGTGGAACAGCAGAGAACAAAAAAAGCACTAGCAAGTTCCACAAATTTTGGAAGATAGGAAGTGGAGGAGTAATGATTGCCCAAGACTACTGCGAGAATTTATATCCAGAATTGCAGAAGAGGAACCATTCAGAAATGGGCTGACTCCCCCTGAAGACTCCAAGGAAATTCAGGCTATATATCCTTTAAAAATACTTAGTCACTTAAAAAACCCACAACCTATATTCTGACATTCCTCTTCTTACCCTATTTCCTGCATTATTTTCTCCTTAGCATTTAGCTCTATCTTACCTGTATAGCCCGTGGGGTCCCAAAGAGTCAGACACGACTGGGTGACTTTTCTTTTTTTTTTTTTTTTTTTAGTTCTACCACTTTATTGCTACCAACCCATCTCCCTCCACCCTCGTGCACACATGCTCAGTCACGTAATCCCATGGACTGGAGCCCGCCAGGCTCCTTTGTCCATGGACCTTTCCAGGCAAGAATACTGGAGTGGGTTGCTATTTCCTTCTCAAGACTGGGTGACTTTCAATCACTCACTGCCATGTATTTTACTTATCTATCATTTGTATTATATGTGTCTACCAACTAGAATATAAGTTCTAAAAGGAGAGGAATTTTTGTCTGTTTTGTGTACAGCTGCTTTGCTCACAGCGGGCGTGTATCAGATATTCAATATTTATAGAATGGATGGAAGGATGAATAGCACAGCACATAACAATGAGTTATGGGACTAACTTGGGGGATATCTGTTAATATTAGAGTTAGATATTTTAGGTCCATTGCCCTAGTCCATGCATTTAGGTGATTCCTCCCTACTGCTTCCATGAAACTACATGAGATACAAACACCTCTGCCCCTAAACAGGGGTTTCCCAGGTGGCACTAGTGGTAAAGAATCCACCTGCCAATGCAGGAGACATAAGATTGATCCCTGGGTTGGGAAGATCCCCTAGAGGAGGGCATGGCAACCCACTCTAGTATTCTTGCCTGGAGAATCCCATGGATGGATGAGGTTGGTGGTGGGCTACAGTTCATAGGTTTGCAAAGAGTTGGAGAAGACTGAGCTACTGAGCACCCACACATGCCCCTAAATAGATTGGAGAAACCAAGTCGTCCAGAGAAAAGACCTCTACTCTTAATACTAGGAAATTCCTCAGTGAAAATGCTGGTTCATCTTCTGATCATCCTACTGTAGAACCCACTAATGAGTCCTGTCCATGCTGAAAAAACTTCAATCAGCATTCACAATTTTTAAAAACAGCTTTATTGAGTATAACTGATTTGCAATAAACTGCATGTATTTAAAACATATAATGTGATTAACTTTTTCATGGGGAACCATTACCATAACCAAAATAACAAACATTTCTATCACTCACCACACTTTCCATGTAACGCATTCTTTTGTAACCCATGCCTTCTTCAACTCCTGAACACAGGCAATGGCGCTCTGCTTCCTGTCAGTAGAAATTAATTTGCATTTTCTCAAATTTTAGAACAATAGAATCATGCAATATATACCCTTTTTTCATCTGGCTTCTTTTACTCACCAGAAGGATTTTGAGATTCATCCATGTTATTTCATGTATTGATAGTTCTTTTTTTTTTTTTTTTTACTGCTGAGTAGTATTCCATGGAATGGATATGTTTATTAATTTACCTGTTGGTAGGTTGTTCCCAGATTTTTACTATTACAAATAAAGTGTCTAGGAACATTTGTGCACAAGTCTTCATAATTTAGCTATATTGGGAATGTGGAAGGAAAGGAAGAGTGGAGGGTGGTGTTACAAGAGAATAAAATCCTTAACTGCCATTACAGAACATTAGTGAATACTGTTTAAAATTGTTAGATCAAGAAATAGCTGTGTAAAGATATTGAATTATTTAAAGATAAGCAGATATTTATAGTGCTAGAAGAATTTTGAAAGTGGTTGCCTCTGGGAAATAGAACTGGGGGTTGAAATAGAAATTAGGTGTTCTTTGATTAAAAGCTTTGTGAAGCTCTTTGACATTTTTAACCAAATACAGGCATTACTTGGATGAATATAGAAGCTAATAATAATTTTTAAAAGTAAGGATTAGCCAGATGAGGAAGATAATAGAAAACAACACAGGCACATTGTAAATGCTAAATTGCCATACAAATATGACAGACAGCTCATTTAATTTAAAATTAATAAATGCCATAAGCTCCTAAAAAATTTGTGTAAAATACTAACTCGGTATCTAAAAATAAATTCAGTGCAAATGCTTAACAACACAATGCATTTTAAATGTGTAGTTTTTTGGAAGACTGAAAAGCACTGCATACTCTAGAAATGAGCAATTCCACATCTAGGTGTGTATCCTGGAAAAGCACTACTTGTGTTCAAGGAGACAAGAATGTTCATCAAACCACTGTTTGTCTAACAGAAAACTGAAGACAATTTAAACGATCATCACTAAGGAAGTGGATAAATAAAAGGTGCATAATTGGGTGAAATGCTAGGGAATGAAAGAGAATGAACCAAGTGGACCTGTATCATGGCTAGCTCTTGAAGACAACGAAAAAAAAAATTGGTGAGTGATATTTAGGTTGTTACCTTCCATGTAAAGAAAAACAAAGCTAAAGATTTTTCTACAGATACTTTTATATGTACTTTTACATACATTATGTATCCATATACATGGAATTCTGGATCGAACCCGGGTGTCCATCATTGCAGGCAGATTCTCTACCGTCTGAGACACCGGGGAATCCCCCAAAGAAAATTTGCAATACTATCCACCAAATAGGTAATATGGGCTGCCTTTGCGGCTAAGAGGAAGAAACCGAATTTGGGGGTGCATATCAGAGAGACTTTCAGTTTTTTTCAGTAATTTTCTAATCGATTCCTCTTCCTTCTCCCCACCACCCAACTCTAGCTCCGCCTCTTGCTCCTCCTCTTCTGTCCTCCTAGAGCGTGTTCCTATTCTACACGAGTTATAAACAAACCAAACCAAAACAACAAAACAGTTTATATTTAGAAGTGCAGTTTCCCTTCCTGCAAAACCTTATCGAGGTTAACAATTTTCAAAGAGAATGTAATTACCTCTAATTTCACTGGAGACATTTGTACTCTTTACGTTGTCCAGACAATAGCAAATACCATAATGATAGACACAATTACTCAACAGTTAAAATCAGTTTGTGTGACCCCATGAACAAGGTGGCTTCTCGTTATCATTTGATAGGTCTTTTACATGTGTTGTTTCAGCTCTTACACATCGTGTAGTTATGCACTCAAACAAAATAAATACAGTCTGTAAATTGCAAGTGTCACGTTAAAAAATGTAAAGCTAAACCTATGTATGAAAACAATGCAAAAGATATATGAAGTTATCGTGACTACAAACTAGCATACTACTGGTACCCAGGGACAATTCGGACACACGGCAGCCAGCTGAGGCGATGACCGTGGGCTCGTAGCTGCTCGCGCGGACAAAATCCACAGGAAGAAATGAGTTCAATTAGGACTAGAAAGTCGCACACACACACACAAACACACATACATAAATAAGAAAAAGAACTGGAAAGAAAAAAAAAAAAACGGAGTAAAAAGTCGAAATCTTGGATCCCCCAAGGGAGCGTGTCTCGAGGTAGGACGCTTTGCCAAAATAACGTTTTAGTCCGTATGGGAGGAGTGTAATTAATCATTATTTCTTTTCCGGTATTTCTTGAATTTTCACTTTTAAATAGGGGCTAATCTGGGGCATCAAAATATAGGGGTTTAGGGAATTCCCTGGCCGTCCAAGTGGTTAGGACTCCGCGTTTTCACTAATGAGGGTGCCGGTTCAATTCCTGGTGGGGAAACTAAGATCCCACAAAGCGGCCAAAAAAAAGTATACGGTTTTAATTTTGCCACCAACGGACTTAGTCAAAGCACATCCTCATGCGTGAAATTGGGCGTTAGAGGTTTGAAATCGGCAAACTCCCGCTACTTTTAGATTCTCAACCAAACAGTCCCGCCTCCCGCAGTTTTGTCAAAGAAGTATTTTGGCCCTCTCGGCTCACCGTCCGCGCAGCCTCCGGAAGCAACCTAAGCTCCGCCCCCTGCGCGCCAGTCGGCGCGAAAACCCAATTGACAAGAACTCCCTCCGAAGCCGGGGGCTTGGTTCTGCGTTCGACCTGCTTTTCCCGCGGGACCCCTAGCCCCGATCACTCAGGACTGGAGTGCCCGCCTCGGGGGCACCCCGCGCTCACCGACCACGCCCGAGGGTTCTCGCTGCCCGCGCTTTCTCATCGCCTCTTCCCGCGTTCGACTCGGCTGAGCTGGGCCCAGCCTCTGCGACCACCCCTGGTCGTGGGCGCGGGGGAGTCCGAGGCGGACCCCGCGGCCCAGGTCCTCGCTCCTGCTGGAGTCGGCCGCCTCCATGGCCTCCCGACAAGCCGGGCCGGGCCGCGCAAGGTCCTAGGAACTGGGATTCCGGAAAGCAAGGAGCATGGTGGGGGTCCTGGCCATGGCGGCGACAGCTGCTTCCCCTCTGGTGAAGGACTACGAGATTGAGGTGAGCTTGAATATCTCCGTTTGTGAGGAGTGATCCCAGTTTAGGATCTATGAGGGCAAAGAGGGACCTGGTGAGGCCCCACAAGAGTTGTGACATTGTGTGCAACAATTGCTGGGGTGTATCGTTTCTTGAAGATGTGATAGGTCCTGACAAACGTTAGGATTGTGAGATGTTTGCGGGGACTTCAGGATGCCTAGTTAAGGACCAGTTCCCAGATCCTGAAATGTTGGAACTGGATGTTTTGGACTTGGTTAATGCCATGAATGTCATGAAGGATCCCACGGTCTGGTTTGAGTTCATGATAAGGAAGCAGAGAATTTTAATGTTGAAAAGAATCTTTTAGTTCTACTTGTCCACCCAAATCCACCTGCTCTAGGAATACCGATTAGATTGTCACCGCAGGAATCAAACAGAACCCTTCATTTAAAAGTCACTTTCTCATTCTTCTATAGCTTAAGATACTGCAGTTAGAAGTCCCACCTTGCCATACTGTTATTCTCTTGTGTATATCAAGTTTCAGTGAAATGTACTAGCAGTTATTATAAAGAGCCTCTAACACCATGAAGTAGTGAAGTAACATCGTAAAGTAGATGGTTGCTATATTTTTACACCTTTTCATCTCAGGCTTGCATTCTATCTGATGTATGTATGCACTGAATGTATGTCCTTGGAGTGAGCCAAGATGTATATTCACTTACGTAACTTTCTTTTTAGAATTGAGTTCTGTTGTCTGCTTGTTATTAGTTGTTATGCTGGTGCTTGTTTGCTAAATCAAGGCAGTTGCTCTGCTTGTCTTAGGTGTGAAAAAGAACTTTTAATACTGGAATCACACAGTTCTTGCTTTTTGTTTGGGCAGTTTTCCCGTCTTTTTGTTACAGTTTCTGCTTTTGATGCCCAGCTTAGAGAGTTATTTCATAGTAATAATATTTACTGTTCAGTATTGGAAGGTTATATCAACTCTGTAATGAGGTGTTATTATCTGTATTCTGCGGATGAGAGGTTAAGTAGTAATTAAAAGTAAGATAAACTAGGTTGTTGTTGTTCAGTCATTATATTGTGTCTGACTCTTTGTGACCCCATGAATTGCAGCATGCCAGGCTTCCCTGTCCTTCACTATCTCCCTGAGTTTGCTGAAACTCACATCCATTGAGTCAGTGATGCCATCCAACCATCTAAATTAGGTTAGAAGAAGTAAATTAAATTAGAAAATTAAAAGTAATTTGCTTAAGGTCCCACACTAGTAGTTGACAGAACCAGCACTTGAACTTAGATCTGCCTGACTCCAGAGCCTATGGTATACCGCCTCTGATACCAGTTCAGGATAATAATACTACCAACTCACTAGCATTTTCTTCTAATACATTTATCACTTCATTTTAAGAGGTAAAATTTTAATGTGTCTGTAATTTATTTTGCCTTATATTTATCCAAATTTGCCCCAATACTTTTTATTGACTACTTCTTTGCCCACTGACTTGAGTGCTATTATCATATGCCAATTCTTAAATATCTCTTTTTCTGGTTTTCTAATCGGTTCTATTAAATTGCCTATTCATGCATCAGTGCTATGCTTTAATCATGATAGCTTTATAATACATTTAAATTTTCTAGAAGTATAATTTCTTGATTACTTATCTTTTTTTAAAAAAAGGTTTCCTTGTTATTCTGACAAGTTTATTCTAACAAATGAACTGAAGGAAATTAAAAATAACGAAAAGACTGATGGAGATTTTTTATAAGGGTGATGAATAGTGTAGGAGTTAGGCAGTAACTGTTTTAATCAGTTCAGTTCAGTCACTCAGTCATGTCTGACTCTGCGACCCATGGACTGCAGCACGCCAGGTTTCCCTGTCCATAGGCAACTCCTGGAGCTTGCTCCAACCCATGTCCATCGAATCGGTGGTGCCATCCAACCACCTTATCCTCTGTTGTCCCCTTCTCCTCCCGCCTTCAATCTTTCCCAGCATCAGGGTCTTTTCAGATGAGTCAGTTCTTCTCATCAAGTGGCCAAAGTATTGGAGTTTCAGTTTCAGCATCAGTCCTTCCAATGAATATTCAGGACTGATTTTCTTTAGGATTGACTGGTTTGATCTCCTTGCAGTCCAAGGGATTCTCAAGAGTCTTCTCCAACACCACAGTTCAAAAGCATCCATTCTTTGGTGCTCAGCTTTCTTTATAGTCCAACTCTTACATCCATACGTGACTATTGGAAAAACCATAGCTTTGACTAGACAGACCTTTGTCAGCAAAGTAATGTCTCTGCTTTTTCATATGCCTCTAGGTTGGTCATAGCTTTTCTTCCAAGGAGCAAGCATCTTTTTTTGTTTTAATAGCATATTAAAATACTGGAAAATCTTAATTATTTGTAGTAAGTGCCACTATAATTTTTGCTTAATTAGTAAATTTTGGGATCCTAGGCTTGTTCACTGTGTACCTGTTTCTTGGAAATAGATTAATTTATTTACTTTTAGCTAAAAAACCATAAAGGGAATGGAAACAATATTTATAAAGTTTCTATCATGGATCAGACTTTACGTGTTTGTATGTGACATGTTCATTGCAGATTCTGTTGGAGTGTGTGGTACTATTTGAAGGTTATTAAGTGAACAGAGGCCAACAGTAATTAATGTATTTGTACACAAATATAGTGTCCTTGAAACTTTCTATTGAAGTATACATACAGTAAAGTACACAAGTTATAATTGTGTAACTCAATGTGACACTGAGATTTGATTGTAGATTTAAGTTTAAAGTTTTTTTCTTCCTAATATATCATGTTTATCAAGTAAGAAGGCTTCTTTTTTTTAATCCCATTACATAAAATAATAAATCCGTGTTTAAACTTTATAGTATTTTGCTTGAAATAAGTGCTTTTTTTCTTCTTTTAAATTGATAGGCATGCAAGAAGCGAAGGAAAGATGATGACAGAACTTCTTGCAGAACAATCACCAAGTATTTATCACCCATGGGGAAGACCGGAGACAGGGTTTTCTCTCCACCCAAGTCCAATAATATTTTGGATTACTTTAGAAAGACTTCATTCACAAATGAGAAGACTCAGACAACAAAAAAGTGGAAGACAAAGTCATCCACACCATTGCGTGCTGACAGCGGCAAAGACTGTTTGGAAATGCCCTCAAATACAGAGTGTAAGAAGAGAAGAAAGAGACTAAATTTATCTCATCGACTAAGTAGTATTAAAACTGAACATAAAACTCCAATTGGAATTAACAGCGACGAGAGCAAAGAAGACTGTAGCTTAGATAACGATTTTGTGGAAAGTAGTACTTCCGCTTTACTTGACAGGAAACATGTCGAGGTACTTGCAGAAAGTATCCAAAGTCTCAAAAAACAATCAAGCACTATGACCTCCAAAAAAAGGTCTAAGAAAGTAAATCCTAAACATGGGCCCTCAAAAATCAATTGCAGAACATTGAGTAAAAGGAAGCACAGGGAGGTTATAGATCTGTCTGAAAGCTTACCCTTAGCAGAGGAACTAAATCTCCTTAAAAAAGATGGTAATGATAGTAAACAGATAAAGCCTTCCCTAACTGATGAAATCAAAAGTACTGCGAATGATGCTGAGCCTAGAGATCAAATCACTGAAATAGCCCTGTTAAATGACAGTACAATAACTGTCTCATATGAGGAATTTTTAAAAAGTCACAAGGAAAATAAAGTGGAGCAGACACCAGACTCTACAGTGTCAATTTGTATTCCTTCTGCAACTGTTGAAGATATAGTGAGAAGTGGTTGTATGAGTGACCCTGAAACCTATGAAATTTCCCAACAGACCCGCTTTAAGACAGTCACTGTTCTTGCACAAGTTCACCCCATCCCCCCAAAAAAGACAGGGAAAATACCCTCCATTTTCTTGAAACAAAAGCAGGTGGAAATGGAAAGTAGTCTGTCTGATCCTGAGAATGAACAGGCAGTTCAGAAAAGAAAATCTAACGTTGTTATACATGAGGAAGAACTAGAATTGGCGGTGTTGGAAGCTGGAAGCTCTGATGCTGTGAAACCTAAATGCACTCTAGAAGAAAGACAACAGTTTATGAAAGCATTTAGGCAGCCAGTATCAGATACGCTTAAAAATGGAGTCAAAAAGTCTTCTGATAAGCAGAAAGAGCTCAATGAAAAATCTTTAAATGAGGAAGAAAGAGATAATAATTCTAAAAAAGTCATGGAAAATCCTAATATCCAAATGGTTTCAAATCATGGCAGTTCACAGCCCCACACTGATAAAGGAAGTTTTCCTAAGGAGAAAAGTAAAACACTGAAGAAAAAGAATAAGAAAATGTTAGAGACTGGTGGTATTCCAGCTGAAAATAGAGAGGGAAATACTCAGGAAAAAGAAACAACTCTTTCCTTTAAAGAGAAGCAAAATCAAAACAGGCTTAGAATGAGTTTAAGACAAAAGAAAACAGAACTTTTCAAAGGCAGCACATTATTTAACAAGGAAAGCCTTGTTTGTGAACGTATAGCAAATGATGACCCTCTAAAGATTTCTTCTCCGTGTAATAATAAGTCTTCAAGAAAAACCAGCTTACCAGTTAAGGATAAGGTTATACAGTCTAAAGCTGAGACTGAAGACAGCTTGGGAAATGTTTCTACACCCAAGTCAAGCAGAAGATCTGTAAGAAGTAGCAGCACACCTGCTACTGTAATCGTTCGAGGTACTGATTCTGAAGATGCTCAAGAGGATAGTCCAGTCAAAGCTTCTACTCCAAAAGCAGCCAGTTTATCAGAGAAGCATCGCTTATATACAGCGGAATTAATAACAATACCCTCTGATTCAGAGAGTCCTATTAGGTAAAAGTTCTGTTTTGTTCTCAAGTTCTGAATATTCTGTATAAGTTATTAGATTCGAAGGAAAAGACATCAAGCACTGGAGAATAGTTTGTTTTTTTTTTTTCCCCCTAGAACACAGCTTACTTATAAGAAAAAGAAAACAGGGTTTCAAAAACACTGCTTTTTTTCCATACTTAAAGTCAGGCATGCTTTCAGAAGAGCTTTTATGTATTTCAGATGAGCTTTTCACTCTTGTTTATCGTAGTTGCTAATTCCTGGAGGAATATCCTTCAAATAAGAAATCTGTGCATTTAGCAAGCATGAGATTAAAAATAAGTTACAGAACTTTAGGTAAACTGAGGCATATACTATGAGATATATACTTGCATGCTGGTTCTGGCTAATGTAAGAAAGATTTTGAAGTGAAGTGAGGTGGAGTGGAGTGAAAGTTGCTCAGTTGTGTCCATCTCTGACCCCATGGACTGTAGTCCATAGAATTCTTCAGGTCAGAATGCTGGAGTGGGTAGCCTTTGTCTTCTCCAGGAGATCTTCCCAAATCAGGGATCGAACCCAGGTCTCCCACATTGCAGGCGGATTCTTTACCAGCTGAGCCACAAGGGAAGCCCAAGAATACGAGTGGGTGGCCTATCCCTTCGTCAAGGGGATCTTCCTGACCCAGGGATAGAACTGGTGTCTCCTGCATTGCAAGCAGATTCTTTACCAACTGAGCTATCGGGGAAGATAAGAAAGATCTCAGCGGCTAATTTTCTGGAAAACTTATGATTTACAAAATAAGCTTTATGTTTTCTAAGAGTTTGTAACATTGAGTTTGGCTTACATTTGAACCAGTAGCTTGAAACTAATGGAGGGTTTGATTTTTTTTGTTTTCTACTTCAGAACTGTCCAGAAATTAGAGCTCTAGTTGTTTACTATATTTAATTGAAATTCTTTGACATTAGAATCCTAAAAATATTTTTCAATATCTTTCTCGTTTGCTTTCAGAATGAAATTCACCAGAATTAGTACTCCAAAAAAATCTAAGAAAAAATCTAAGAAAAGGTCTAAGAAATCTGAAGCTGCTGATGAAGATTTTGAGACTCAGACTAGAAAGGTAATTGAAATATTAGGGAGTCCTGTAAGTGGTATCCTGTTTTCTGAAACAACAAACGCTACTTTTGGAAGTGATACGCCAAAAGATTCACATAATTCATAGACTGGTTTATGTTAACTACAACCCTTTACTATTTTTGACTATTCACTCTGTGAGTTAGCTTATTAAGAGATCAATATATCTTATTGTGAGATGAAAACAGTTGATAAAGACTGTGTAGTTTACTTAGAAAAGGTTTTCTTAATCATACTTACATTGCAATCAATTTCCTTAAGGCTGCTTATGGAAATAAGCATTATTGACTTTTTGTTTTATTTCTATAGATTAGAGGCTAAAAAGTGGGGTCTCTCAACCCTGGTACTGTTGACATTATGGGCTGGATAATTCTTTGTTGTGGGGGACTGTCTCATGCTTTATAGGGTGTTAAACAGTAACCCTGGCATCTACAGATGAGATGGCAGTGGCAGTCCAACTCGCCCAGCATTGGCAACCAAAAATATCTCCAGACATTGCTAAATATCCACTGGAGGGAAAAATCACCCCCAGTTGAAAACCACTATCCTGAAAGGAGAATGTGTAGGAATAGTTTAGCTGCTTTTGTAAAATAAACTGCTTATCCCCTTCATGAGAGAATTGGATTCTTTCTTGGGTGAGTAGATACAAGTGTGTGTGTGTGTCTAAAAAGCTACCAGGGTGATTCTCATGTAATCCTTGGGAGAAAGCCCCTGCCACAGAAAGTTGGTATCTCCTTTGTTTTTCTTTAACAGCTGTCCTTTTTTTTTTTTTCTTTTTTGACAGCTTACCATGTTCCAGGTATTATGCTTAGTACTCATACCATTAATCTCATGAAGTGAATATTTAGCCCTCCTTTGAAGGACAGTGGTGCCAAAGAAGGTTAAAACATTTTTGAGAGTTGGAGTGACACACAGTGCTTTTTAAGCTGGGGGCATGGGAAGAGGGCTACCAGAAGCTGATAAATAGGAAGAAAGCAGAGAACTGTCAGGATGGAAGTCCTGTTACATTAGGAGTAAGTAAGAGCTGGGAGGACAGGCAGCTCAGTCACAGAGGAGGGTATTGGCAGTGACCATTTCTTGAGGTGATCAGATTATGGTTGATTTTAATTTTCTTCATTTTTCTGTTTTTTGTTTTTCTATAAATAGAATTTTAAAAACTTTTATCAGAAAAATAACTATTAAAAAAAAAACAATTTCAAGTAATAGCAGAATTTGCCAAAGTGCATGTGTATTTTTTCCCCCACGCATTTACTAAAACAGGTCTCTTTGTTAACTGGTTCAGTGATGGAGTTGTTAATTTAAATCTAGCTGGATTATTACCCTAAGGTTTATCACCAGCCTATCAAAAATTTTGCTACCAGAACAACAGATATCTATCACTCTACTCCTGTAAAGCAAATTCCTAACATTCCTAACCTCCTTATGTACTGAATATCCATGCCTCTTCTTTTTTATTTTTATTTTTTTATGCCTATTCTCTTTAACATTTTTTAAAAAACATTCAAAAAGTTTTGAAGAAAAAGCAAACATTTATTTAAAAATCACAGTAGTATATACATATAAAAGTGAAAGCTTTTTAAAATTTTTTGTCTCTTATTCTGTAAGGGTAACCCACTTTTAGTTATGAGTTTATTACTCCAAACTTTTTCCTATGCTTAAATAGATATATCATTTTTAAAAGAGATCGTATAATGTAAACTTTTATAGCTTGTTTGCAGTATGTTTTTAATCCAAATGTAAAAACTTGTAGAACTCAAAATATGGAAAACACATTATCTGGAAGATAATATTTAAATACACAAAGTTGCTTAGTACATCAGTGACAGAACCAGACCTGCAGAGTAGACTTTGTTCTTTTCTAGTGCTCTTTTCTATGCCTACTACCTTTTCAATTTCTCTCTAAAGGATTCAGCCTATAAGTGACTAAAAACAAAGAAAAGATGCCATGAAGATGGAAATAACCAACAATTCCAATCTATACAGACATCTATTTAAAAAAAAATTTTTATATATAGTCATCTTTCTGGGTATTTTTTTTACAAATGTAATCATATTTATCCGGATAGATTTCAAGTAAAAAAATGAAGGCAAACCAAGTATAATTAGGCACATTTTAATTTCATTTCCATGGTAAAATTTGAATAGGTATTTTTTTTGGTCTTTTATTTGGTGTGATCTGTGATTATATTTTTCTGTTATGTATATATGTAGTGGACTTCATTTTTTAGAACACTTTCAGGCTCATAGCAAAACTGAACAAAAGGTATAGGTTTCCCAGATACCCTCTGCTACCACACAGGCAAAACCTCCCCCATTATCAATATCAGAATAGTACATTTGTTATCATCGATGAACTTACACTGACACATCATTATCACCCAATGGCCACGGTTTATTTGTTTATTTTTTTAAGTCTTTCAAAAAAAATTTATTTATTTAGGACTTGCTTTGCAAGGGCTCTCTCTAGTTGAAGCAAGTGGGGGCTACTTTTTGTTGCGGTGCCCGCCATTCTCTTGTGGGGCACAGGCTCTAGAGCTCTGGCTTCAGCAGTTGTGGTGAATGGGCTTAGTTGCTCCGTGGCATGCAGAATCTGCTCGGTCCAGGGCTTGAACCTGTATCCCCTGTATTGGCAGGCAGATTCTTATCCATTCCACCACCAAGGAAGTCCCCATAGTTTAAGTTAAGGCTTACTCTTGGTGTTGCATATTCTGTGGGTTTAGATAAATGTATACTGACATGTATCCACCATTCTATTAATAGTACCATCCAGAGTAGTTTTGCTGCCTTAACAATTCTCTGCTCTGCCTGTTCGTCCCTTCCTTTTCCCCTGACAACCTCCTGTCTTTTTAGGGTTTCTATAAAGTTTTATCTTTTCTATTTTTCTATTATTGAATATAAAATATTTGCCAGAAACCTAAATTATTATTTCACATTTGTGTTTAGGTAAGCCGTGCTTCAAAAAATGTATCAAAAGCAAAACAATTGATTGAAAAAGCAAAAGCTTTGCATATTAGTAAGTCAAAATCTACTGAAGAAGTAGTGACACCTTTAAGGCGTTCATCTAGACATCAGATGCTTGCTGAAAGATCAGAAACAGAAGTAAGTATTACAGATATTTAGTGGTATAAATTTTGTTCTCTTCTGTTTGAAATGAGAGAAGGAAACCCTTATAAAATTATAAGATAGAGTACTTGTAGAAAGCCTTGAAGTGGTAGGAAGAATATAATTTTCCATTCTTTTTTAAAGGACTTCGGCTGTCTTTTGCCCACAGAATACAATCTGAATCCTTATCAAGTCATTCAAGACCCTTCATAGGCAGAACTAGCTCTTGCCTTTCCTCAAAACAACCCCCTTCCTCAAGTACACACCTTTCACTCTGTCTTACTAAATTATTCATTTCTCTCCAAAGGGTACAGCTTTAACTCTCTTCAGTTTGTAGTTTCAGCTTGAAATGGGTATTAGGTACTCAGTCCTACTGAAGGAATTCCTGCTCAGATTTTAAGATCCTCTAAATGCCACCATTTTCTGTGTTTTTTAAGAACTACAACAATTTTATTATAGAGATATATAGCTTTATTAGAGAGATATAATTTCCATACCATATAGTTTGCTGTTTAAAGTATGCAATTCAGTCATAGAGTTGTGCATCCATCACCACAGTCAATTTTAGAACATTTTAATACCTCCAAAAGAACCCCCATTTCCTTAGCTCTTACCTCCCAATCTCCCCTCCCTCAGGCCTAGCCAAATCATATAGATTTGTCTATTCTGGACATTTAATACAAATGATATATTATCACATATAGTACTATACGTGGTCCATTGTGTCTGGCTTCTCTCATTTCGCATAATGTTTCAAGGTTCATCCATGTTTAGCATTAGTGTTTTCTTTCTTTTTATTGCCAAATGATACCCCATTATACAGAAATACCACAACTAACGTTCATCAGTTGTTGGATGTTAAACTGTCCACTCAGTTAATTAGTTCTGATTTAATTAGTTAAATTAGCTCTCCCTCTGTCCCCTAAACCCTGGTTGTAACCTTGAGGCCATCTCTAGTTTCATTTGTCTGTGTTTCAAGTGCCTGCTCTTGCCTATACATAGTAGATACTCAGAGATATATACTGACCATACGAGTACTTATCAAACTTCATCTAACATTTTTCTAGGATATATAGTTCTGAAAGGGGATAGCTAGAATTTTTATAGCTTGGTTGTGTTGATTCTTTTATCTGGAATATAGTTTGTTAGTTGCTTCTTTAAAAAAGAAAACTATGATCATAATAAATCTTTTTGATCATGCGAACTTGTATGGTGTAAGCACAGACTACTGCCGTTCATATCCTGTATTTTTTGTATCAGATAGTTTCTGACAGGGAGATGTATAGAATTGCTAATGTGATTTTCTTGTGTATGACTTCTAGCACTATAATCTTTTTGAAATTGTAATAACATTAACTATATGTTATTAAAATTTTTTTTCTTATTCTGTCTTAGGACTCTGTAATAATAATAAGTTCAAGTCCTCCTCCTGTAAAGCAACCTGAGAAAAATCAGAAGAAACTTCAGTGTCTGAATGATGTGTTAGGAAAAAAACTTAACAAGACTCCTAAAAATGTCCCTGGTAATCAGATTTGATAATATTGATGGTGAACAGGAGGTTTGAGGGGGATTATATAATTCTGAATTTTAGTTTAATTTAAATTTAAATTTCTTGTTTTATAACCTTTAATTATATTAAATATTTCTATTTTGATGAGTAAATGAGTGAAGTTATAATGTAGTTCTCTTTTACAAAGAGTAAGTGAGTATATTTTAAGTGATTGCATTTCTTTGTATCTGTTTAGCTTCAGTTAACTTAGTGATTCTGGAAGCTGACTGATCATCAAAATCATCAGGGTAAATTTTTAAAAATGTTAAGTTTTTAGGTCCTTTCCTAGACATTACTGACCAAGAGTCTCTAGAGGTGGGTTGTAGAATTTGTAACTTAAAAAAAAGCTCCCCAAGAAATTCTGATATTGATATTTCCAGATTGAGAGACCAACTCATTATATAGAAAAATTTTAGTTAAAAAAAATTTTTAAGAGTTCTGAAAGTAATTGAAGGTAAGTGGAAATGATAAGCCTTAATACTAACCTAAGTATTTATTTTTCTAAGGAAAAGTGAAAGTCGCACCTTTATTTCTTCCTAGAAAGACTCAGAAGACAGCTGATCCTGCCCTTGGTTTTGATGAAAGCAGGTCAGTGTGATACAGATTTTAAAATGCCAAAATATTCTATGGAATTTATTTTGTACTCATTTACTTTGATGAGAAAGATTTAAACTATCATTTGAAGCTTTAATAAGTCCATTTTAAAAGATGACAATGTTGACATTGCTACAACTGCAAATTGAAGATCTTGATCTTTTGCAAACATTTTATGGCCATCTCTAGACACACTAGTGTAAAAATAAATAGGCAAACCAAAAATACCAAAAAGCTGGTTTATGAACTTTGAAAATATTTAAATATTTATTATGTACCAGGCACTGTGTTTGATGCTAGGAATGTCATGGAAGTAAGACACATTCCCCATCTTCTTGACTGGTAGAGAACCTGCCTGCCAATGCAGGGGACATAAGAGACTCAGGTTTGATCCCTGGGTCAGGAAGATCCCCTGGAGAAGGAAATGGCACCCGACTCCAGTATTCTTGCCTGGAGAATCCCATGGACAGAGGAACCTGGAAGGCTACAGTCCACAGGGTCTCAAAGAGTCAGACACAACTGAGCGACTTAGCACACATACACCTTCTTCTTGAGGCTTACACTTTAGAGGAAAGACGATCTCTGATTAACTGTTAATTGAGCCAACAAGTGAAGAATTGGAGTTGTGCTAAGGAGAGGTACAAAGTTCTATTAAGTAGATTTGGTCCGGTTAGGAAAGGATTTGCTGAGGAAATGATGCCTGAACTGAAGGATGAGCAGGAGTTCATTGGGGAGGAGTAGTGGTCCATCCAGAGGGACCATCTAGGGTCCCTGTGACTGCAAGGAGCATGGTAAATACAGGAAGTTGAAGGAATGTCCCTGTGACTTGAGCGCAGTGAGCAGAGTGTGAGATTATGCTGGAGAGGTGGTACCAGCCCATGTGGGTAGGACCTTTAGGACACATGAATGGATTTTGTCACTATGCTAAGAGCAATGAGAAGCAGTCAGAGGGTTTTACACATGAATGGAAACTTAAGCATTTGAATTTTGAAAATTTAATCTGACTGCTGGATTAATTTGGCTGTTGTACAGAGAATGGGATGGGGGAAGAATTAGAGTGGATACAGGAGTCCTGGTGAGAGATAATGGAAGTGTGGACTCAAGTATTGGAGAGGATGTATAAAAAAAGATTTTAGGAGATACATTTATTTGTTTATTTTTTGCCACACCATGTGGCTTGTGGGGTTTTAGTTCCCCCACCAGGGATTGAACCTGTGCCCTTGGCAGTGAAAGCGTGAAGTCCTAACCACTGGACCACCAGGGAATTCCCTAGGAGATAAATTTAAGAACCCTTTATGATTAATTGGGCTTCCCTGATAGCTCAGTTGGTAGATTCCGCCTGTGATGCAGGAAACCCTGGTTTGATTCCTGGATGGGGAAGATCCGCTAGAGAAGGGATCGGCTACCCATTCCAGTATTCTTGGGCTACCCTGGTGGCTCAGATGGTAAAGAATCCACCTGCAATGCTGGAGGCCTGGGTTCTAATTAATTATGATTAATTAGACACAGGGGCTGGGGGTGGGAGAGTTGAAGGTGGAAAGATGACACCTAAGTTCTGATCTGGGCCAGTGGGTGGCACAGTGGAAGAAGACCAGGTTTAGGGACATGAGTTGAGGTTATTTTTTCTTTTTTTTTCCTGTTTCAGTTTTATTGAGGAATAATTGCCTATTGTTAAATGCACATATCTTAAGCACACAGTTCTGACAAGTATATTATATCCAGATATAGCATCTTTCTTTTACTCCCGATTGGTTTACTCTTTCTTCTTCTGTGTCCCGGCCACCAAAGCAAAAGGTTGTCACCATTCTGGTTGATGTTACCATCGGCTAGTTGATTTTTGTTGCCGTTGGTTATTTTTTGTCTGTTTCCGAACATCACATAAACATTATATGTTATTTTGTGCCTAAGTACACGTGCTTGGTACACAACATACACACACATTTTTTAAAATCAACTTTATTCAGGTATAATATGCATATATTCATGTGCACCCCTATTAAGTAAATAGTTTGAACTGTTACGAACATTCATGTAGGAGCCTGCCATGATACGTCAACACCACTCTCTTATAGTGTATATTTTTTAAGTGTTTATAACCTTAGCTGTCCTTTTCCCATATTTTCTTAAAAGCCAAGATGCATCTGAAAGGTCTCAGGATTGTGATGTGCAGTTTAAAGCAAAGCGTGACTTCCTCATGAGTGGTTTGCCAGATTTGTTGAAACGACAAATTGCAAAGAAAGCTGCTGCATTAGATGTGTATAATGCAGTGAGCGCCAGTTTCCAGAGAGTCGTTCATGTTCAGCAAAAAGACGGTAAGTTTATTATTATGAGATATTTTTAAACATTAGTAAGCAATATGAAACTATGTAAGTTGGTTTTAGGTGAGACAAAGGTTCAGGTATAATTCTTATGTGGAATTTAAAGTAGCTTTTTATCCTCTCTATTCCTGGGAAATCCCATCAACAGAGGAGCCTGGTGGGCTACAGTCCATGGAGTCACAAAGAGTCAGACACGACTGAGCAACTAAACCAGCACCACCATATCCTCTCTGCTGCAGCCTTGGGCTGAGAAAGGGGATGGGGCAGGAAAGCCGAAGCCCTTACCCCTGATGCCAGGGGAGGGCAGGCATGTGTGTGGTGCTGAAGTGAGTGCTGTCCAGAGAGGTGCTGTGTTCTTGAAATCTGAGCCTGTATGTGAACAGATCGTCTTTGAAGAGTTTCTTAGAGGAACTCCATCCCTGTCTTTGTCCAGTCTGCAGCTCACTGTTCAAGAGAAGTCTGTTTGCCTCCTTGCTGTAACAGCTTGTGCTGTTTGGTACCACACAAGTATCTTGTGAACCATCTCCTGGAGTTGGTAACAGGGAGCCGTGTTCCATTGTGCTAACTCTCTCTACCCTCACATGTACCACACACGAGAGCGAGATGTTTACACAAGCCTTGTAGGATGGTGTTAAGTGGATCCTGATCTAATTCTCTGTGGATTCAAGTGCTCTAGCAACCAGAGTCTTACTTGAGCTATTTATTTTTTATAATTACTGATCATATACAAAGGCTTCTATCTTTGCTTTGCTGTTGTTCCTGAAAAGTGTTAATCACTTCAGTCATGTCTGACTCTTTGTGACCACATGGACTCCATCCATGGAATTCTGGCTCCTCTGTCCAAGGAATTCAGTTCCTTCTCCAGGGGATCTTCCCAACCCAGGGATCAAACTGGGGTCTCTTGCATGGCAGGCAGATTCTTTATTATCTGAGCCACCAGGGAAGCCCTGGTGTTGTTTCTACCTAGTGCTTTTTGTCAGGGCAAAAACAGTTATCTTCTTAGCTGGCTTTGTGGTTTGGTTTGGTGTAGTCCCTCTCCTCATGAAATGTTCACTCTGATCTGTCCTCCTTTCTTTGCCTTTTATGTTTCTGACCTTGATGGTTTTTGAGTTTTATTTAGCCCATCTTTTCTCTGTTGTGTGACGTTCCCAGTCAGCCTTTCTAATAATATTCTACGTTTCCTTTTCTCTCAGTTCTGCTACGGCCGTTCAGTGGATGAAACCTTTCTTGTTACTTTCACCAGCTCAGTGTTATAAAGCATTTTCTGGTAGTATGTTCAACTATAGAGATTAGTTATACTTTTCCTTAGGATCATGCCCATCATCACCTAGTAACAGAATCTGGATTTCAGGATGCTAATTGACCCTGAAATTTTTAACCTGAGCAGCAAGGTTGATTTAAAAAAATGAAAAATGTGCAAATATTTGCTTATTTTTAACAATTGGGAGGGAAGACTAGGTAATTTTTATTAATTGTATTTGTTACAGGTGAGGATTTTGTTCCTGTGTACTCCTTTGAATTTTGATACTTTTATGTTAACTGTGTAGTTGTTGTTGTGTCTTTCTGTGTTTGTTGACTTGACATTTGATAAATGGATAAGAATGTGAAGAATGAAGGTAATTAACGATTTTTCTGTTTTTCTTTAGGGTGCCATTTGTGGCGTTTGAAACCACCCACTTGTCCTCTCTTAACTAAACTTAAAGAACTAAATACTAAAGTAATAGATCTCTCAAAATGTGTTATGGCTCTTGGTGAATTTTCAACATTGAATTCAAATTTGAAAAGTAATAATTCCACTGTTGTGGTAAGTATGAGAACACTCAACATTATAGAATGTTTCCTTCACATTTTTCAGAGGGAAAAAATTTTACGTCTACTGTTGGAGCCTAAAGATCATCTCTTCCTAGAGTCCAATTTTAAAAAATAAATCCCAATTGAAATACAAATCTCTTTTAAATTCTCTGAGAGCTTTAAAAACATTTTAAGAGTTAATGATAGCCAGTTTCAAAAGAATATTAGATTATATAGCACATTTAGATACTTTGTCAGTCAGAATTATATTCTAATAAATGTATAAAATACAGTTAGCTTTAAAAATTACAATAAAAATATGAACTAAGTCCTTCTAAAGCTGTGCAAATGCAGCTTTGCTGTCAAGGGTTGTATTTAGTGACTAAAGTTAACCCTACCCTGACGTAGACTTATAGACAGAAAATAACTGGTAGTATTCTGATTAATATTATTAGAATGTGAGTTTAATTGAACGTTTGGTTTTTTATTGCAGTTTATGGGGAGAAGGAAAGATTTGACTGAAGAAGTAAGAAATCTTTTGTTGGAGGAAATTAGGTGGTCAAATCCCAGATTTCCTTTGAGGAAATACTTCTCTTTGCTTCTAAAAAAGCGAACTGAGCACCAGGTACTTTCTGAGTGTCATTGTAAACAAGGTTAGTGATAATTACTATCATCTCCATTAACATTTCACTTTTGAAAACGCTGAGGTTAGCTATTGACCCTTGCAGGTGGTCACCCCCGAGAGAACTTCCCTGCGGTTAATGGTGAGGTTTGTCCGACTGAAGTAAAGCATCTTTTGTGATGCGTGTTCGCCTCTTCTGGCTTCCAGAGTGGCCAACCCCAAAACAGCGTTATGTTAAAATGCTAATAACTTATTTAAGGAAAGTCTTAGATGAGGTAGTTTTTATAGCCTGTACAAAAGGCAGTCTAAATAACAATATAGCAACTAGCTTTCAGCATGCAATGTTTGATTCTTGGCTTTTCATTTTATAGTAATAAGGCTATTGGATATTTTGAAGTGGTATTAAGATTATTGGGTAATAAAATTAGTTTCCTGTTGCTTGGTAAGCACATGCATTTCTATAATTTCCCAAATAGAAAGTCCACAACTTGAGCCCATTGTCAGCCGAAAAGAAACCAAAAGGAAACGAGTGGAAACGGAAAATCATAAATCCAAAAGAAGGAAGCCAAATAACCATTTAGAAAGTCCAAGAAAGATTAATGGGAAACCAGAAGAACTTGACAAAAGAAACAACTCCAGTGGGATAAAGCTAGATTCTTCCAAAGGCTTGTTTCCTAAAACATCCAGGAAGAAACAAACAGCTCTGAGTACAAGGTGTAAAGTGGAAACAGCAACAGTAGAAGATCCTGATATTCTGATAATAGATGATGATGACAAAGAGTCTTCATCAGAAGTGTCCTCTATTCCAGGTAAATTAGATTCTTCTCTTCTTCTGGTCCTAGACGGTGTTTGTTTGTTTTTAACCTCTCATTTTCCTCCTCTTTTTTTAATGTATGCTCATTGCAGCATTCAAACAAAATAAGACATGGAAGCCTCACTGACTTACAGATAAACCACATTTAACAGATTTCTGTTTGGCCGTTGATTTTTCTGTGCTTCCCCAAATACGTATGCCTTTTTGAAAATTTGGGATCACACTCTTCCTATTATTTTACACCTGTTTCACTGATTCTTCTGACATTAGTCCCATTTGGTTATCTAGCGTATCTGGATTATTCTATTGAACTGATTAATTTATTCATTTAGAGTATGTTTTGATCATTTGTACAGCAAGTCTCTCTTTTTTTAAGTGAAGTATACTTGATTTACAACGTTGTGTTAGTTTCAGGTATGCAGCAAAGTGAATCAGTTATACGTGCACGTACATGCATTCTTTCTTTTAGCTTTTTCCCACATGGGCCACTACACAGCATTGAGAAGTGTTCCCTGCGCTACACAGCCGACCCTCACTGGTTACCTGTTTTTATGTAGTAGTGCGTATATGTCACTCCCAGACTCCCAGTTTATCCCTCCTTCCATCTGTGATTCTGCTTCTGTTTTTAAAAATGTTCATTTGTTCCCTTTTTTAAGATTCTGCATATAAGCAATATCACATGATATTTTTCTTTTGACTTACTTCACTCAGTGTGACAATCCTAGGTCTATCCATCTATAATTCTTTTAAACTATTTTCATGCATTGCTCCACTGAATGAACTACAGATTCCCTTACCCCACAAATTCCATGGGCATTTTGATTTTGCATTAGTTTATAGGTTAACTTGAAGGGAACTGGTATCTTCCCAATGTTGTCTTCTCCGTCAGGAGTGTAGCCTCTCTCCATTTACTCAGGCAGACCTTATAGAATGTTTTAATGTATCCTTTTCGGAGAAGGCAATGGCACCCACTCCAGTACTCTTGCCTGGAAAATCTGATGGATGGAGGAGCCTGGTGGGCTGCCATCTATGGGGTCGCAAAGAGTCAGACACAACTGAGCGGCTGAACTGAACTGAGTGCTTTGAGTAACATTTTTAATGTATACTTTTAAATCTTACAGTCATAAGACTTTTTGTTTGTTTTTTTACAGTCATAAGGCTTTATGGTGGTTAGCTTTTAAGGGGAACAGTTTTGATGAGAAGAATTTTCAATGTAATGTTAAGTTTTTAAAATTGCCTTTTTTGGCAGTTTATAAACATTTCTACAAATACTTATTGTTACATGAAACAATGATGCAAATGTATAAGAATATATGTTTATGTCAAGGAACGAAATACTTCAATACTTATTTTTTTCTTTAGATTCTGGAATTGAAGACATGCTTTGGACGGAAAAATATCAACCTCAGAACTCCAGTGAACTCATAGGCAATGAGCTAGCTATAAAAAAGTTACATAGGTTGGTAAAATTTATAAAGGAATTGAGAAATAGTTTATGAATCTAGTTTTACTATTTATTTATACTGAAATCTAGAAATTATGGGCTTCCCCAGTGGCTCAGATGGTAAAGAATCTGCCTACAGTGGAGGAAACTCGGGTTTGATCCCTGAGTCGGGAAGATCCCCTGGAGAAGGGAGTGGCTACCCACTCCAGTATTCTTGCCTGGAGAATCCATGGACAGAGGAGCCTGACAGGCTATTGTCCATGGGATCGCAGAGTCAGACACGAGTGAACGACTAACACAACACTAGAAATTATAAAGTTACACATCACAAGGTAAAATCTTAAAAAATAAAAATCCAAAGTGAAAAGTAAATGTACCTCTTCTCTTCTGTTTCTATTCCTTACTATTAAAGATGTCTTATAAAACCTTCCAGAAAAAAATTAATGCATATATTTGCTCTTCCTAACAGATAGGATCATATTACTACTAACTCAGGTCATAATCCTTTGTTTTCAATTCCCACCTCCAAAGAGTTCTGGAAATTGAAAGTTTATTAACTTTATTATATACATAATATTTATTATGACCTTCCCTGGTGGCTTAGAGGTAAAGAATCTGCCTGCAGCGCAGGAGATGCGGGTTTGATCCCTGGGTCAGGAAGATCCCCTGGAGAAGGAGAAGGCAACCCACTCTAGTATTCTTGCCTGGACAATCCCATGAACAGAGGAGCCTGGAGGGCTACTGTCCATGGAGTTGAAAAGAGTCGGACATGACTTTAGCGACTAAACGATGACAAAAGTTCATTATAGTTTTTAATCAGTCCCAACCAGAAATATTCAGTGATTATAGATGTACTGCCACAGACCCACTAAAGGTATTATGTGATATGTAGTATATGTTCCAAATTACATTTCTAGTATCTAAAAGATCCTGAATTCTAAAACTCACCTGGCCCAAAGGATTTCATACAAGGAATTGGAAGCCATAATAATAAACACTTTGAGATTGGCATCGTTCTAAGTACTTGATAGTTCTTAGCTCATTTGATCCTTAGAATGATCCTATGAGGGTAAATACTGTTCCTCAGGAAGAATGAGTCCTAGAGAGGTTGAGTTATTTGTATGAGGTCACACATCTAAAAGTAGTGGAGCTCAATTTAAACTGAGGTGGTCTAACTCTAGACGAGAATTTAATCTTTCTACTCATAGTGTCGTGTATGAGACATCTTTCAAGTCATTGTACAGTCTGTTCCATTTCTAAGTTTCTCTGTACTGGTTTCTTATGTGAGCATACCATGAGGTATCTTTTTCCCTACTGATGCACTTTTAAGTTTTTCCTCACTGATGCACTTTTAAGTTTTTCCTCTTGGAGGCTAATTTAAACAGTGTTGTAGTACATATCCTTGCACATATAGTCTTGAGTATTTAGGCAAAATTACTTCATTTTAAAATGTTAATGCCAGTTTAAAATTATTTTACTATATAGTTGATTCAGAAGCATCATGGAATTCTTAAAATGTAATGATATACCATATCTTCCCCCAACAACCATTTAACTTATTGTCTAAAAGCTATCTATATTCTGTGACTTATTTTTATTAACATACAATTTTCTTTTGATAGTTGGTTGAAAGACTGGAAAAGAAGAGCTGAATTGGAAGAAGGACAGAATTTGAAGGGAAAAAGAGATGAGAAACAGGAAGGTATTTTGAGTCTTTTTTTTCCCCATTTCACTGAACATTTTTAGAATTAGATTAGCTAATCACTTTTGTGAGGCTTCTTATTTGGTATCTTATGTTTGGTTTTTTCGTTTTCGTACATTGAATTCCAACATTTATTGGCAGGAAGATGTGGGATTTGGTCACCGGGTTTGGTGAGATAGAACTGCTGCCCATGCAATTGTTTCATGTGCGTTTGAATGATTTTCAGATTCGTTGGATAGCAGAGACTTCAAAGGTAGTTCAGATGACGAAGAAAATCGCCTTTGTAATACCGTTCTTATAACAGGGCCAACAGGAGTGGGGAAGACTGCTGCGGTATATGCTTGTGCCCAAGAACTTGGTTTTAAGGTTAGTTGACAGCTCTAGCGGATGAATACTAATGTAATGAAATGAAAAGAAATATAAACCGTTCTGCCCCTTTTCATGTATTCTTCTTCTAGATATTTGAAGTGAATGCCTCTTCTCAGCGCAGTGGTAGACAAATTCTGTCTCAGCTGAAGGAAGCTACTCAGTCTCATCAAGTAGACAAGCAAGGTGTCAACTCACAGAAACCCTGCTTTTTTAATAGCTACAACATCGGCAGGTCACCAAGTAAGTGAATTATTTTCTTTAAATCACAGCCTTTAAGAAATGAAAATCTTAAGAATTTTAATAATCGATATTTTACCATATTTTATCTCTTCCTACATATATATGTGCCTTTCAGATTTTTCTCGGGTTTTATGTTTTAAAATAAATCTCATGACCATCACATATATATATATATATATATATATATATATATATACTTTAGTACTTAGCTCTAACTGATAAGGACTTTTTAAAAGCGTAATTGCAGTGTCATAACCAGACTAACATAGTTAACCACATACCTTAATTTGATCTGATATGTAGTCTGATTTCAGTTTTCTGTTGTTTCAAATGGTTCGTTCAACTCAAGATTCAAACAAAGTCCACACCTTAGATTAATGTCTCTCTCTCTTTTTTTTTTGATTAATGTCTCTTAAGTGCCCTTTCATCTCTCTTAACAATTCGCTCACTCTTTCTCTTCATGTTATTTGTTGAAGAACATGGGACATCGGTCATAAAATGTCTCACATTCTGGATTTGGCTGACTGTATCTACATGGTATCAGTTAACACATTCCTCTTCCTTGTATTTCTTATAAACTGGCAGTTAGATCTGTGGGCTTGATTAGATTCATTTCCCTTTTGGTGCTAGTATACATTTACAGATGGGGCTGCGCTTCCTGCAGTGTCATAGCAAGAGATACGTAACAACTGGTTATCCCACTTTTAGTGATACTAAGATATTTTTTATTTTAAGATTATACCTCTTCCCTTGTGATGTTAAAATGCCTGATTTTTATGACATGACAGTGATTCCTATGGTAATTTTTTTCAAAGCTCAGAATTTCCACTGTTTTTTCAAACACATATGATACACAAGAAATATAAGATCTCTGAAGGTGAGGGTATAGAAAAAGAATAGGACACAGTCATGGATATGTGCATGTATACTGGTATGTAAAGAAGATTCTGCTCTGAGTCCATGTGATAATAACTAGTGCATGTAAAGGCTGAATTGGGGTACAAGCTCTGGGATAAATGCCAGGCTGCTGTCAGGCTTCTGAAAGGTGGACATCAGCCATTTGTTTTTAACTGTGTATCCATCTTTCATATCTAGAAAAACATATCACTTGCTTGTAGTATCATTTACTGTGGGCTAAATCAAAGTTGGACTAGAAGACCTGTAATGTGCTCAGTGTACACCAATATCACTTTTCCTCCAGCCTTTAGTTGTGGCATGTAAACTCTTAGTTGCAGTACGTGGGATCCAGTTCCCTGACCTGGGATTGAACCCAGGCCCCCTGCATTGGGAGGGTGGAGTCTTAACCACTGGATGACCAGGGAAGTGCCCCTCGAGCTTCTTCTGATCTCTAGTAGATATAGACAGAGTGAATGACGGGATTGTGAACATTATTTACTTCAAAAATGGAGAAGAGTATCTTTTCCAAATGATTGGCTTTATCTTCTCTACTGACAGGCTAACAGTACAGTAATATTTGAGTGTAAAGAGTATTGACTATAAGAATGAAAAAATTTTTATATATTTGCTTTTTAACTAGTATAAGTAGAAATATACTGTGGATAACTCAATCTTGCCATCTGTTTAATTTTTAGAATATTTGTTTTTAAGTGCAGTTTGTTTTTGGCAGAAAAATTATGCTCCCCCAAGAAGGTTGTTACATCACCAAGAAAACTTCCTTCGCCATCATCACAAAGTAGTGGACCAAAGCGAACACTTCCACCTAAAACTTTGGCAAATTATTTTAAAGTGTCTTCTAAGCCAAAAAACAATGAACAAATAGGAGCACTTCCAGAAAATAATAAAGGTGAGACACTAATTGACAAAAAACCCCAGTACATAAAAATTGGATCATATTTCATGAGTTGCTCTTGTAATTCATTAAACCTCTGAAGGTCCTACTTGTAGCAGTCTTGATACTTTGTTTCAGTTTTGATAGGGGATTTCACTTTAAGCTTATTCTGTGGAAATATTCAATGTTCAATCAAAAGTTGATTTGAAAGAAGATGGGGTACATACATACAATGAATATTATTCATCCCACTAAGAGAAACAAAATGGGGTCATTTGTAGAGACCTGAATGAACCTGGAGTCTAGCATACAGAGTGAAGTAAGTTAGAAAAACAAATATCGCACATTAACGCATGTATGTGGAATCTAGAAAAATGGTACAGATGAACCTGCTTCCAAGGCAGGAATGGAGACACAGACATAAAGAGGAAACATGTGAACCCAGCAGGGGACAGGGAGGCTGGCATGAGCTGTGAGAGCAGGATCCGCATACACACCCTACCGTGTGTAAAACAGACAGACAGTGGGAAGCTGTCGGCGCAGGGCGCTCAGCTCCGTGCTCTGTGATGACCTGGAAGAGTGGGGTGGGGGTGGGGTGGAGGGAGGTCTGAGGGGGAGGGGACATGTGCGTACATATCGCTCATTCACTTCTCTCTACAGCAGAAACTACATTGTAAAGCAGTTATATTCTAATAAAAAAGTTGATTTTATGTAAAATATTATTTTATATGCAGGAATCAAAAATTCTTTTGAACAGAAACAAATCATTCAGATGAAATCTACAAACACAACTAATTCAAATGTCAAAGAGTTTGGGGCTGAGGAACCCAACAGGAAAAATGCAACATCCCTCATTCTTTTTGAGGAGGTAGGTTTACAGAGGTATACATTTGTGATATCTCCTGATGAAAGCTTATTCTAGAGGTTCTATATATTTTACTCTGACAATCTGTAGAACAGCCAAGAAAGTCAGGAATAACTGTATCTATGACCCGGGTTCAATCCCTGGGTTGGGAGGATCCCCTGGAGAAGAGAATGGCAATCCACTCAAGTATTGTGGCCTAGAGAATCCCATGGACAGAAGAGCCTGGCGGGCTACAGTCCATGGGGTTGCAAAGAGTCGGGCACGACTGAGTGACTAACACTCATTTCAAGTTAAAGTGAATGAAACTGTCAGCCATAGAAGAATTTTTCAGGAACATGATTCATGCAGTTTGATTACTGTTTAGAATTTGTAGAATTATACTGTCCCATACTTATCCAATTATATTAATAGGTGACTGTATGTCTTTGGTTTTAATGTTTGATAATTTCTTTACTCTTTTAATAGTGTAAGATATTGTAAGTGCTCAGCGTGGTGTGAAGTCACACTGTTTACAAATTCATAAATTTTGTTTCTGACATATAGTGTATCTACTGTGTATACATAACTGATATTCAAGTAAGTGTATTGTTACTCACTGTGTCAATATCCTAATAACCATTTTGTTCTTAGGTTGATGTCATTTTCGAAGAAGATGCTGGATTTTTGAATGCAGTCAAAACATTCATGGCAACCACGAAGAGACCTGTAATCCTCACGACAAGTGGTAGGTAACCAGTGATTTTACAATTAATTACTTTCAGTTAAAATATTTGGGGAAAGCTTCTAATTTTGGTTAGATATGTTGCTTTAGAAGTCTGCTGGCAAATTAAATTGGTTGTTTTTTTCCTAAAGTGAGGAGGCTTTCTAGATCATTTTTATTAATCAACTAAGAATTATTCAAATTTGCAATTGATTTATAGCCTTAAGTAATTATAAAACTTAGTATATTAACTTGCAAATAGCAATGACTTTAAAAAATGAGTACTACTTTGAATTACTGTGTTGGGGTGTTAGATATTTAGGATGCCAAGAACAGCCTACACAGATAGAGAAATTTATGGACAAGCTGGTGAAGGGGTTTGGGGAAGGAAAATAACAAATCTTTCTCTTTATCTCTTCCTCATACGTATAATTAGGTTACCAAACCTCATTTACTGGTCAGGATTTTTTATGGAACCTAACTTTTCTGCAGTTTCTTAATATTGAACTTGGCCATTCCTTAGCCCCTGATAATGTTTCCTATGGATTAATTGCATATTTTAGCTGAAGTCAGCCATCATCAGCCTTACAGAATTGGTCCCCTTTTCTTCATAATTAGAATTTGGTTTTTAATTTTAAAATTTCATACAATATTTTTCATTATATATATTGTATTATAATATTTTCAATATTTGTTATTGCAGATATTCAGAATGTCTCTACTATGGATTTTTGTAGGAAAATGTGTTTGTGTTAGACTCTACTTAGAAATTAATGGCCCATTTAATAGTTAATGATTGTACTCTAAAAATATCGATAAAATCATATTAATCACAAGTGACTTGGTAGTTTAAAAGGTCAAGGTAGAAATTTAGTTCCTTAATGATTTATAATTTGTATGATGTTTTCATTACTGATGAAATATAGGATACTTTCATAAAAAACATGACTAGACTTGATTTTTTCAAAAAAAAAAGTCAACAAACTGCAAGCACCTGTTAATAAAGGTCTTAAATAATTAAAAAAAAAAAAAAAAAACATGACTAGAGAAAGTACCTTATTGGTTTTAATGTTTAAAAATATGTTTTTTCACTATAGATCCAACATTTAGTTTAATGTTTGATGGCTGCTTTGAAGAAATTAATTTTAATACTCCTTCACTGGTAAGCTTTGAATTTTGATGATCATAAATTATATATCACAATTACATAACAAGTAATTTATTATAATATTTAGCTATGTTTTGACTATTAAGGGGTATGTTAACATTTTTGAGTTTTAGGAGACTTCTAATTTTTTTGTTTTAAAATTTTTTTTCCAAAATTTGAATATTCAAATTTTTGCTAGACTCTAATGTTCTTTAATTCTTTTTCATAGTAACCAGTAGCTTTTTTAAGGTAAAATTTACACACAGTTAAATTGCACTTAAGTATACAAGTTGAAAAATATGAACAGAGATAAACATCCATGTAACCATCATCCAGATGAAAATATAGAACATTTCCTTCACCTCAAAAAGTTCCCTTGGACCCTTTTTAGTCAGCACTTCCCTCTCCACCAGAGATAACCACTATTCTAATGTGTATTAACTCAGATTAGTTTTGTCTGTTATGAAACTTTATGCTTTAATTTTCAAATTATTTGTGTTTGCATACATTATAAACTCCTAGATACAATGCTCTGTTTTTTGCTTTAGCTGATCATATATATTTTAAAGAAATTAAGAAGGTAAAAAGTCAAGTTTTTGTTTACCTGTGTAATTTTGTATGTTCTTATTTTCTTTATGAAGATCTGAGTTTTTCTTTGGTTTTGTTTCTCTTTAGCCTCAAGAACTTCATTAGCAATTCTTACAGAACGAGTCTGCTGGCAGTGGATTATATTAGATTTCTTTCAGTTTTTCTGTCACTACTTTAAACATATCATTTCATTGAGTTTTGGTCACCACTGTTTCTTTTATGTCCCAGCAATTTAAACAGATTTTTAAAATTTATGTTTCTGCCCCATATGTATTGTGTCATTTTCTTCTAGATGCCTTCAAGATCCTCTCTTTAACTTTAGTTTTCAGTGGTTTTCTTGTGATGTTCCTAGGTATTATGTTTCTTCGTATTTAACCTGCTTGTGATTCTTCATTATCTGTTATCCTTAATTATATGTCATTCTTCCAATTAGGGAACTTTGCAGGCTTATTTTTCTTTTTTCTTTTTTTGCAGGCTTATTTTTCCAAATTTATTTTATTTTCATTTTCTCTTTTTCCCTTCTGGGGATTTAATTACAAGAAGGTTGGACATTTACATTGACCCGCATGTCACTGAGATGTGCTGTTTCTTCCCCACGCCACCCCCTCAGTTTTTTTTTTCTGTTTATACTTCTGATTTGGTGATTTATATTGATTTATCTTCAAGTCTACTGACCTTTTTTCCTGCCATCTTTGTTTTCCCATGAGGTCCATCCACAGAAATCTTTATTCTAATATTACATTAATTTTTAGTTTTATAAGTTCTTTTTGCTTCCTTTTTATGGATTCTATTTTTCTGATGAAATTTCCTACTATTCATTATAAGCATGTTTTCCTTAAGCAGAGTTTTACTAGCTGTTTTAAAATTCTTTCTTGCTAATTCCAGCTTTGTCATCTTGTGATCAGTCTGTACTTGATTGTCTTGCCTCTGAGGTATTGGTTCCTTTTTCCTATTTCTTTGTATGTCTAGTAATTTTAGATTTTTATCTTGTACCTTGTGAATGATATATTGTACATTGTGAATGTGTGTGTATATATATATATATTCTGGACCCTTTTTTGTTCCTCTGAACAAGTATTCTGTTCAATTCTTTTAGTTTTAGCTGGGCTGCTTTAAGACAAGCTCACGCACATGAACTTCAAGCATTGCGTTCTTTAAAGCTAGGATTTCTGTTTCTCTGCTTTCGTGGACCTCCCCCTCACTTTCTAGCTGCTGTGAGTTTTAGTTACCACTGTTACAGCCTGCACTCAGTCAAAAATCAATTTTAAAAGGTGTGGTGGGGATTCACCCAAGGCCATTTCATTTGTCCAAGTGTTGATTTCCCTTTGATTTTCTTCTACCTTTGGTTATTGTTCATTCAGATAATTGGCTTTTTACGTTTTCTTAAGTTGATTATAGAACTTATAGTTATTATTGATGGCAAGGTTTGTCTTATACTAAGTACTCTTTTGTTATTGAAAGGAGAATTCCTGGTCTGTGGGAAGAAGTCCCAGATGTGTGCAAGAATAATACATATATATAGAATAAAGTCAACGATACCATAGGGAAAAATGTTTTTAATTGTCTTGTTTATTATAATGTATAAATGCTAGTAGTCTTGTAATTATCTGTGAACTGTGAATATAATTTTATATGTTTTAGCTTTTCAAGGTAAAAAGCTTTCCATAAACAATAAGAGAATTACATTGTTTTACAAAAAATATAGCAAATTGTACACTAAATAAAATTTAAAAGTAAACTTTGTACATTTACTGCTAACAAATATCATGTATTTAAAATTTTTTCTTCTATTTCTCATTTACATACATGTATTCTTTTATGCATGCATTGATATAATTTACTCAGTCTGGTTTTCAAAAGTTATACAGTAAGTGCTTTTTTTCTGTATAGTATAATATTCATATTTATCACTTTAATGGCTGTAAATGTTCCATCAGGTTGTACCATTGATCCTAAGGGATTGTCTTAAGGTTTAGTAAGATTGCCTTTAGTATTCAGGTTGGAGAATCTCCCATTTAAAAAAAACCAAGATACAGTCTTGCTGTCTCATACTGTATACAGTTAATGAAAACAGTATATATAGATGCTTTTAATTTGGTAACATATTTCCTTATATTTTTCAGTCATTCTCAATAAGAATTAAGATGTTTTAAAATTTTAGTGAAGTTTGACTTTTTGTTAGAGTATTTGGGGTATTTCTGTTAACTCTTCAGTTGACCATGTTTCTTTCCTCTCTTTCTCCCTTTCTACCCCTCGCCTCCCCCCTACCCCAGCTAAATGTTGCCAGCTACCTACAGATGATCTGCTTGACTGAAAATTTCAGAACTGATGTAAAGGATTTTGTAACATTGCTAACTGCAAATACTTGTGATATCAGGAAAAGTATCCTTTACTTACAGTTCTGGATTAGAAGTGGAGGTGGATCTTTAGAAGAAAGGCCATTATCTCTTTGTCGTAAGTTGCTTTGTTAGAAAGGAAATTTCTGTTATGGGATTCTATATTAAAATATATGCTGTACCAATAATTTGAAAAATTAAAAAATTTTAAGCATTGGGGTATCGTGTCAATATTAAAATAAACATATATACATCAACTTTGTTCCTGAAAGTTTTGTAAGCATTAAATGTGGGTATTTACAATTAAACTGACTCTTGAGACAAATGGTTACTTGTACATTTATAAACATATAGTTTCTTATAAATAAATAGAATTATATTATTTAGAAGCTTCCTTTTTTCACCTATTAAAAATGTATTGGTGATTTTTCCATATGTAAATTATTTTTAGATGGCTGCATTGTAATTTCCCTGTTAGCTTCTTTAATAGCCTATAATCCTGTCTTTCCTAAGAATTCTCTCATTTCAAAAATGCTTTATTTCTTATCAATCTTCAGTGATTGTTACCTAATTCAAGTCACAGACATTTTCTGATAACTTTCTTCATGCCAGGTCCTGTGTTTATATGAATAAGACATGGTTCTTTCCCTGAAGAAGTTCATAGTTTGTGGTTTCCATGCTCCATAGTCACAGTTCTGTAGTTACAGATCTTGCTCTGGGAAATACACTAATATTTAAATTTTAAAAAGGTGAAGTTCTGTTATATTAAATCCCTTATCACTTTTTCAATTAGTTCAAAATTTAGTATCTTATTCTTTTCAAGTGTTTATTAATAATTCAATTTAAGCTGGCAGTTTCACTATTTCTTAGAAGTAAATATGATAAATAAGACATGAAATATCCTATTATGAACAAGATAGTTAATAACTATCACCATATTACTGGATATAAAATGCAGTACCAAGAACTTTAACATTATTTATTTTCTTGAAGATCTTAAATGCATTTCATCCTGTCTTAAAAACACACATACATACACACAGATATACACTCAATGGAAATCAAACGGTAGAGAAATATATAACATAAAAAGTAAAAGATCTTCCCCGCTTCTTAAAGGTAGCTACTGTTAGACCTTTATCTGTGCATATACAAATATTGCTGCCTACTTATTTAGCAAAATTACCAGCACTATGTATAGTTAAATAATTTGCTTTTCTTTTACTTGACAGTTTATTGTCAGTATATAGTTCTAGCCCTCTTTTTCTCAACTGCATGCTATTCTGTAATATAAAATGGAGGTAACATAATTAACCATTACCTACTAGGCAACATTTAAGTCATCTTCAGTTTCTCATTAACGTATGCAGTGATTATCTTTTTAATTTTTCCCAATTTAAAAGGTGAAAGATGAATATCTTAATTTCCATGATTATTGGTGAAATTGTACATCTTTTTACGGTTTATTAGATATTTGTGTGCCCTTGCACTTTTTTCAGTTGGATTGTTTGTAAACTCACCCCACATCCCACCCCCACTTAATTTATGTAGAAATAATGTTTGTATTGTTCTCTTTGTGAATTAGATATACAGATGGAGAATAACAAAATGAGGATTAGGTAGAAAAAAATGCCAAAGGATCTTGGATGTTAAATAATTGCTTGTTACAGTCTGATAAAAATATGGATACTCAAGTTTTTCTTTTACTAATTTTCTAGGAGGAAATAGCAGAAATGTACCACTTGTTTGTTCTGAAGATGACCCTGATTTCAAAAATAACCCTAGAAATACAAAAAGGAATCCAACAGACCTTCCCAAATGTGACACTGGTTGTGCTGAGACCTTGTTCGGCCTTAAGAACATTTTTTCCCCATCTGAAGACTTATTTTCATTTTTGAAGGTATTTTCAGCGTCTGGTTTGGAATATTTATGTTCTTTTTCATCTTCCCAACACTCACTTATATCTTTTGAATCTAAGGTTAACTGTAATTTACCAGTAATTTTTATAGGCTTCAGATTGCTGATTTTAACACATTGTACCACTTTAACAAATGGTGCATAGGCATTGCTTTAAATATATATTATAGAATATAGAACTTAGAGATATTTCAGATTAAAAAAAGTTTCAGAATAGTAGTTTTTAAACAAATGAACTGCTAATTATTGAATTAGGGTATATACTGACAATTAGAGAATTTAATTCTTCAATTTAACACTCCAAATTAATTTTTTAGACTCAATACTGTTTTGATGTATTAAGGAAGTGTAAGTTAATAAAATTATGAAGGGTAGAGACTCATTACTTTGAAGATAGACAGGAATGACACTATTCATATGGGTAGAAAAATGTTCAGACTGGGTACTGGTATAACATTTCTTTACTCACAACTGTTTTTCAGCACAAAATAAGAACAAAGGAAGAACGGTGTAAGCTCATCCACCTTCTTACAGAATTCCAAACGCAGAATGTGGATTTCTTATACAGTAATCTCGAGTTCATTCTGCCACTACCTGTTGATATCATTCCAGAAACAGAAAACTCTTCTGGTTCATTGATAAATGTGGACACCAGTGCAGCAACAGAAAACATGAGATGTCTTGCTGGAACACCTTTTGAAGGAGAGAAGCCTTTGAAAAAATCACCAAAAAAGAAACATAAGAAAAAAATGGTAACTTTAGATGACAGTGACTTATTTGACAGTGAATTGGACATTTCTGATGAATGTATTAGTCTTCCCTCTGCATCTTCTTCAAATTTAGAAGAAAGGAAAGCCAGAGATAAAGAAAGCAATCCAGAGACAAAGAAACCAAACAAATGTCTAGAGTCAAACGTTGAATCTATTCCTCGTCCTCCTATAACACCAGCAGAAAAAAAATGTTCTGTCCTTGTTTCTCACTGTTTAAATTCTCTCACTGAGTTCGTGGACAACATGTCTTTCTTAGATGCCCTTCTGATGGATGTACGGGAACAGAGGGGGTTAGGTAAAGATGATTTTGGTTGGACAAATGGAAAGGTTAAAAGTGGACTTTGTGATGAGTTTAGTCTCGAGAGTAGTGATGGATGGACTTCTCTGAGATCTGGAGAAATAAAGGCGGCTGTGGAAGCTCTCAGCTTTACCAAATGTTCTTCTGCTATTTCAAAAGCATTGGAAACATCTCTGAATTCTTGCAAGAAATTAGGAAGAGATCCCACAAAAGAGCTTACTTTTTATATTTCTCAAAGACGCAACAATGTACGCTTCAGTCAGTCTGCAGCTAATTTAGAGTAAGTCTTCTGTTTATTTTTTATTTTTCAATAATAAATGGTAAAGGGGAAGTTATCAGTTTCTTTCTCTTACTAATTTTGAAATGCTGGGCTTTATTGATCAGGTAAGCCCATAATATTGTAGCTTCTAAGGAGACAGTTAAGGAGACCAGCCTGATTTCTGGGAAGAGAAATAATGAGAGATTGGGGGCAGGGGGAGTAGATCTGGAAGACTCTTGGATCACAAGGAAGGGGTCTGGATTTGCTGTGCAGACAGCAGGTGGCCAAGAAAGTCTTTTCAGTATGGAAGTGACTGATGTGTTGAAAATGGTACAGGAGGTTCATCTGGAATACAGTTAATCTAGTCTAGACTAGAATCAGGGTGGAGTAGAGACCAGAAGCTGGTTGTGTTTGAGACTGTTGCATTTTTATTGGACACTAAAAATCAAAAGGTAATGCATTACTTTTAATTTACAGCAGTGCTTGGCAGAGGGTAGCAGTCATCAAAAGTGTATTTTCCAGCCGATCTCTTCTGAACCTGGGTAATAGACAAGCTAGTATAATTGAATACTTACCAACTCTTCGAAACATCTGTAGGACTGAGAAGCTAAAGGAACAAGGAAAAAGTAAAAGAAGGTAAAGTTTCTTATAAAAAGAACATTTGACATAGCTGTTTACAGATTGATAAATATTCTTATCTGATGGAACTATTAATATTTAAATTGTATTTTTCCTTGTAATTTTGACAGATTCCTACACTATCTTGAAGGAATTCATCTTAACATTTCAAAAGAGACTATGAACACTTTGGCAGCTGACTTCCCTTAATATTCTACATTAAGTGCCTTCAACAGAGTCTCACGTGGATCTCAAGATACATTTTTATATTGATTTTCATGGAAGTGTTTATTTCTCTTAATGTACATTTAAAACAGACTACTTGTATATTTTTATTAGTGTGTAAATATTTAAAATGAAAAAATTGGAGTTACAAATTATTTATAATTATGGTAGTATTTTTTTTCTGTATTTTTTTGCATTACCTGATTTAGCTCTGTTGGAGTATGTATGGGGGCTGTTTCTAGAAGGTAGAGTTCCCTAAATATTTCTTAAGGTGCTTCAATGCCAAACTAACCTACACCTTCTCCCTTTCTCGTGACCCTCAATCCACCTCTCTCCAACCAAGTGTCAGTGCCCTGTCAAATTGTGAATGTGAATGACCCAGGTGATGATCTTTTTAAAAATAAGTTTACACAATCCAGAATATGAAATAGCATGGACAATAGTAAGAAAACTTCCAAGGAAAGAAATTATGTATCATTTTTCAAAAAGTAAGTTTTTCCTGATAAATTTATTTTTAGTGTGCTCATCCAGGATATGTTACCATGTGAATCACTGAATACTGAGAAGGTAAAGTCAAGATTATGAATTGTAGTTTTCATACATCTTTTTTTAGCAACAGTACAAATGTGATATCTTGTATATTTTGATAACTCAAATAGTTTGTCTTGTACATTTTTCTTGTATTTTTATATCATTGATGTTTTATTTCATAAAGATATTAATATAAATATTCTGGACAAACTGCTATTCATTCAAACTATAACAGGATTCTTCTCTAGGCTTTCTACATGATAGCCATTTCCACTTAAGGTTATATTTTTGGAGAAAGTATCTTTTTAATTACAAGATTTTAAAATTTACAACATTTCACGTAAAATCATTTTTACAATCAGATAATCAGGGGTATCTGAAAATAGTTTCCTATTTCAAGTGTTTATATTATATATTAGCTTAATATTCAGTTACATTATCTGGTGAATTATGTTTTCACTTCAAAAGGTAAGGATCCTAATTTTCTACAGTTAAAAAACATAGACATATACCTGTGTACAAAATGTTTTTACCTCTTAGAATATTTTTTCAATATATCTTTTCTTGTATTGCTAGTACATTGATTTAATTAAAGGCCAAAGGTAAGACTATGCAATATTTAAATGGGAGTTTTAGATGAAATCATCTGGGTAGTATGGATATTGAATAGGTTCGGATATAGGCTCTATCTTATAGATTTTGTCCCTATACAAAAGAGAATACGATCTAAGGCACCTTTTTTTTTTTTAAGTATATGGATTTATTTTTTCTACTGAATACAAGAGTCCACTACCTATAGAGCATTTACCAGTTAATTTGGTCTTTAGTTATTAGAAAATTCTGACAGTTCTCATCAATTGAGGAGCTAAAGTAAAATTAACTCCATAGAATTGTATTTAAATGACCAAAAATCAAGAAATGAAAGAAGCATTTTCCTCCCTAGTATGGACACAGGTAATAGCTTTTTTCTTTTTTTTCAGGTTTAGCATATTTTGGGGAAATACTTTCTCAGTTCTTAAAGGTGATAAATACCTGTAAGACTTAAGATTTACTTTTGTGATAAAAGTAACCACATTTTGATGACTTTTCAGTACTTAGCGTCTTATCCTTTAAATAATGGATAATAAAGCGTCGGAGTTGAACGCATTTTCACCACAGCTATTCCCAGAAATACGTGAGAAGTAGAATGCCGCCCACCTGGCCTGACCAACTGAATGGTTGGTGACGCTGTTTACCAGAGCACAGCAGTGGCAAACGAGGCGGCCTGGGGGAAGAGTGATTTCAGACATGAACTTGGAGCTGTCTGCAGCAGTTCCCCGGTGGAGATGCTTCTGTATACAGTCACATAGGTAGAGATTTACAGTGTGCGTGGCTGCAGGTCTGGAGTGCACATCAAAGTGCCTGGGGAGTTGGAGGCGCTGGAAGGGAGGGCGTTCATGTATATTATTATCTGATTATTTGGATTTTTTTTTTCAACAAGTATACTTCACTTTTTTTGGGGGGGGGGGTATCACTAGCTTTATTGTCCAGCCGTCCAGACAGATGGACACCAGCCCTGTGGGCTCAGGAAGCAGCCTGCCTGGCCTGGTGCTGCTGGGCAAACAAAAATATGGAACGCTTCACGAATTTGCATGTCATCCTTGCGCAGGGGCCATGCTCATCTTTTCTGTATCATTCCAATTTTAGTGTATGTGCTGCCAAAGTGAGCACTATACTTTAAAGGAAAGAAAAGACAATGTTTTGACATCAGGGTGACTTGGGTTCAGTATAAGTGAGACATAAGGAGGGCCTGAGTTTAAGCAAAATGGAGAGATATGGGGAAAAAAATTAAGTGCTACTTTTCTGAGAAGATGGTCTGTTCAGTAAAATATTTCAAAGTTAAAAAATGAGCCTGCACAAAATTCTGTAAAGCAATTACCCTTCAATTTAAATTAAAAATGAGCCTCTTGGGCTTCCCCGATGGTCCAGTGGTTAAGACTCCATGCTTCCACCACAAGGGGTACAGATTTGACACTGGGTTGGGGATCAAATACCTCACACACCACATGGTACAGCAATGAAAAAGAGAGCCTGTTAAACAAGACTTGTTTGGTGCTTTATAGATTGAGCTGATGTGCCTTCTGAAGCCATCAAACCACATTGTACTCACAAAGCAAGAGGAGGACTTGACAAGTTGCATTATCAATTATATTTAGCTTTATTCCCACGATGAGCACCATCCAGATAATTCATCAGTCCTTATTTTAACAATATGATAATAATGCAAATCTTTTAGTATAGATGGCACTTGCCTTTCAAGGAAGATAACTTTGTTTCCTGTTTCGGATGTTTAAGGAACATCATATTTTTTAACACTTAAACCTGAAAGGCACAGAATCTCATATTGATTTAGCCTCGGTTTATTATTGTGTAAACCATTCAAGAGCCAAAAGTCTGACTTTAAACATCTAAATACATTCAAACGTGTGTTTTCTTCTCTGTTAACATGGATGTTGAAAACAGTTGCTTTTACAACTTAGGAGCTAATAAATAAAAATTCGTAGATTAACAGCATGTAACATACTAACCTCAGAATTTTAAGATTCAGTATTATGAACAGCCAGTTCATAGAAGGCAATAGCTTGTAATAATGAATCATATAACTCCTCCACTCTGTTGTGTTCAGTAGATGAAAACATCTGTCTGTAGCGGACTATCTTCGCGGGTGGGAAGAACACCCGCGGCTCATCTCTCAGGACAGACTCTGAGAGGAGCTGCTTCACCACCTCTTTCCCACTAGTCCGTGTGTCCCCAATCATCAGCTCAAAATGCTTCCCCACTGCGTTTCGATTCATGCTCAGCACCTGATGATGACCGTCCTGGGCAAACGCTGTATTCAGTAAGGCGTACAGCATGGCTTCTGTCATATGAAAATGTAACAGCACAGGAAACAGAGACGGGTTCTGAAATGAAGGTCCTGTTTTCTCCAGAACATAGAAGTCCGCTTTAGGCATCTTTGAAATGATTGACGAAATCTTTGGGAGGAAAAAAAGGTAAAATGAGTGAACAGGGCAACTAGGCCCGTGCATCCTAGAGCCCACGCTCTGCAGGAAGAGAAGCCGCCGTAATGAGAAGCCTGAGCATGCCAACTAGAGAGCAGCCTAGAGAGAAAGTACACACGCAGCAATGAAGACCCAGTGCAGCCAAAACAAATTAAGAATTCATTGAGTTTTATTGTTTAGGCCTCCACCTCTGTCCCACTTCTGTTTGTTAAATATGTAACTTCCATTATATTGTGGTTGACAATTTTGAAGTAACTGACAAAGACTTTTATGGAGGAGTAAGGATAGCCAAGTTCTTCTGGTCATGGTTCTAGCAGGAACAAGCTGAGCTAAAACAAGCCAGTTAATCCTCCTAATTACTAGTTTCTTCATCTGTGCAATGGACTTCATAATCCCTAAGATCTATACTGCCTTTAAAACTGGACAAAATTGTCTTATTTACCTTTTAAAAAATTCTAGGGTAGCATATAGGGTTGGAATGACTATACTCAATCACCTCTGCCACTGACTAATCATGTCAGATGATTGATTGAACCAGTTTTTATAGATATAATCAGGATGAACATTACTGCCCATCTCACCAGATTCTGAAGACTCAAATGAGACAATAAATAATAGTGTGTGAAGAACAGCTTTATAAACATGGTGCAGAAATTTCTTAACATTGAGAACAGTATACTTTACCACTGATTTTCTCAGGATCGACCTTTGATTCATAAGGCATTTCTTAAATTATTCAGTTTTAAAAAGATCATAAGTGGGGACTTCCCTAGGGGTCCAGTGGTTAAGAATCCGCCTGCCCGTGCAGGGGACGAGTTCGATCCCTGGTCCAGGTAGGTCCCACGTGCCGTGGAGCAGCTAAGCCTGTGGGCCATAACTGATGAAACTTTGAGTACAGAAGCCACTGCAATGAGAGGCCCACGCACCGTATGCAGAGAAAGACTGCACGCAGCAGTGAAGACCCAGCACAGCCAAAAAATAATAATTTTTTTAAAAATTAAAAAAACAGAAGTGATGGAAAACACAACAGGAACAGGTGAGTCTTAAGTATCCAAAGAAAATCCATCCTCACTATTTTATTTCATCCCTTTTAGGACTAAAAGATGCACAAAGAGCTCCAGCAGGTCAGGATTTGGAGGTGCAATTGCCTTACCTCTTCTAAATAGACAGATGATAGGTATGATCCTTTCATCAATTGGCAATATTCGGTTTGCTGCCAGTCCAGTACTGCCAATTTACGATCGAGGTGAGCCCAGGCAATTCTTCGAGTACCAGAAACAATGGATACAATACTATTAACTGCCTGAAACAAAAAAGGCTGGTTTAATTATAAGTGTGAACATTTTAACAGACATAAGATTTAAGATACAAACTCAGAAATCCAAATTACTTTATGTGATAGAAATAATATGTACAGTTTATGAACTAAGAATTAGTTATTACTAAAAGGTAACCAGCAGTAGTCAGTTTACAGACAGAACTTTTACTTGTTCTCAGCACCTAGCTCAAAGCAAGTGTTCAGATATTCAGATGTTGCTGGGGAATGTACTAGATACTGGGAAACAAGGGACATGACCCTACATTTTAAGAAATACCACCATATTTCTTACACTGTAGAGAGGAGAAATGGCCAGGAAGACTTACTGGAGGACTAGGAGACTGAGTAAAATGGTAAACAGGAAGTTATTTCACCCAGATGTCTGCAGATATAGGCTGACACCTCTCAGACAGTGGAATAAAGAATGCAAGTGGCAAAAGGGCAAAGGGGTGGGTAGATTTCTGCAGAAAGTAACTTCCTTTATCCTGAGAGCTACTGGGAGCCACCAAAGCATGCAACATTCAGGTGTAACAGATTTACGTTTCAGAAAGAACATGGACAGCTGTGAGAAAAGTGGATGGGAGATGGCTAGACTAGGGAGAAAGATCTGTTAAGTACTTGTTACACAACGAAGTTTTAAGAATCTTAGTCACAGTGAGAAGCACAAACAGATTAAAAGCAATAGGAGTATAACTGGTATGTGGAATAGAGGAAACGAAAACAGCCAGGTAACTCCACATTCCTTCTACATAAGTGCTGCACAGACCTACTTCTCTACATGAACTATCCTTTCTTCCTAAAATGCCTTCCTCTTCCTACTAACCTAGCTCTCTCCGGGATCCAGGCTGAGTTTTTCTAGTAAACATTCCCCAACACACAGTTCTCTCCACTAAACTGCCAATTTACTACCTGTACATCTCATGTCTTTGATAATAACTATAAATAGATTGTTTATGTGTGTATCCCTGGGTCCACAGGACTAAACTGTAATTGCCAGAAGAACCCTGTCTTGATGCCCAGAATAGGACTTTGCAAAGTAGGTGTCAAATATTTAGGCAGTAAAAGAGACATTAAGGAAAAGAGTGTACCTTAACTCTCTCTCTTCCTATTTCTGGTTTGATGAGCTTTCTCAAGAGCCGACTTTCCTGTAACTTCTTTTTCTTCCCTTCGGTCTCTGGGTTAAGAATGGAGTTACAAACTTGAACGGTGATTTGATACTGAAACAAGGGCACATTCATTAAACTCTCCAAAGTCTGAAATGGTCCAAACTTTTCTCTGTGTTCTACAATATTGAGGGACTTTTTTCCACGAAGCAGTTTGAAAGCTTCAAGTTCTTTATTCGATGCTGTATTCAACACATGCAAGATGGAAGCCTTCTGTTCTGAAGAGAAGAGCTTCTCAAGTGTCTTTCCAGACTCCTTTGCAGTCTCATCAGAAAAATCGACATGCGGAATGATTTTCTTTGGTGCAGTGGATTCTTTCCGACAGCAGGAATTATGTAGTGACTGGAATAAGGAGTACCCTAATGGAAGTGGAAAACATCTCCATCTCCCTAAAAGAAAATTTTAGCAAAAGTAAGTTGGATGTTTGTTCCTTTTAGTGTTACTTGTGGCCTAACCAGGGCCTTTGCAAAGTGATACGGACTTTCCCATAATTTAAAAACTACCCATAAGAGATATAGTCTGATTTTTGTGGCTAACAAACCTAAATTTTACTGCATATAAATCTTATGTTCAATAAGAAGCATGTATTTAAAACGATTATTTCCAACTTTTTAACGTTTTTCAAATTTTTAACCTTAGAGAAATTTTCTTGCAATTAACTGATATTTTAAACAATATTTATCTTCACTAGTTTCTTTCTCATCCAGTGGAGCCAAATAAAACTAAATTTTAAAGAACTCCCTGACGCTGGAGTGGTTGGCGCTGTCACTGCCAGAGCGGGGGATTCAATCGCCAGGCGGGGAACTAAGATCCCGAAAGCTGCACAAAGCGGATAAAATAAAACTGAATTTTACCCGTTTACAAGAAATGTTTTAGCTGAGGAGTAAATTTAAAAGCGGTTTTTATTTTCTTTTGTACACTTACCACGATTTCTACCACAAGTCTACAAAGAAGAAAACACACACAAAAAGCAACTCTGTAAAACCAAGGGAAAGTTCTACATTGCGGCCACAGGACAATAACGCATCCAGAAGCAAGCAAGCAGCTGTCAGACAGTGAACCCTCTGCCCTCAGCCCAGTCCGAGGAGTCGCTCGTGGACCCTTAACCCAGGGAAAGGAATTACAATCGCTCCGAGGCTCGGCGACCAGAACCGTCCCGTCTCCTCGGCAGGGTCTCCAAGAGGGAGACCTGGACACGGGACCTGAGAGGGTAAATACGCCAGGCGCTAAAAGCATACGGCAGATTCACCCCGTATTCCAGGCACCCTACCTCCCGCCAAGAGGAGACTAGGTACGTTCATCCTCCACGCTAAAGCAGTAGGCTCCACGGTCCAGTCTTCCCCCACGGACTTCCGGTTCCTGCGTGCTTCGCCCCAAAGCGCCCGACCTCTCAAGGGTTCCGGCGGAAGCGGCGTTCCGGCCCGCCACTAGGGGCTTCCCGCTGGGCTGCGGGTAGCAGCTTCGTAGAGCCTCAATGCAGACTCCGTGGGCGTAGTAGTGCCGGGATCCGGAACTCCCAGCTGCGCCGTAGGTTCATTCCTCTGCATCCGGAAAACGGCCTCGCCCACTGTGGCCCCTGAAGGCAGCAGGGCCGTATCTCTGGGAAGAGAACGCCGGGGCCGATTTTAGCTTGTAGTTGGCAAGATCCCTCCTTTGGGTAGCCTCCCTGGGTTTGGATCCAGGCATCTAGATTGGTGAACTCCTATCCTGGACCCTCTCTGTAGCGCAAGGAGGACAGCTGGCGGGGGAACGTAGGCAGGAACATACATAACCAATAGCCCAGGTAGAATGGACTACCTGGGACCGGTGCGTGGTGGTGTTTCAGAAGCCCAGCAAGCTGTAGGAGGAAGTGGCTTTAGCACTGGGCTTAAAAAAATCCCCTGTGCAAGGGATGGATGCAGACCAGCCTGGCACCAAAAATGTTTGTAAGGTAACTGGAAACCACCTGGACTTTTTGTAGAGTCAGACTTGAGGCATGTTTCTGAAAAACTGACCATATTTTGCAGTGTGAAGCTCAATTAGAGTAACAAAGTGTATCTGGAAGCTAGTGTATCCTCAAGGTATAGGCAACCATCAGGAATTGAACCTGGTCAGGTGTGTGATCAGGCAATGCTGGATGGCTGTTTCTTGCTCTTTGTATACTCACTGGTAGAACAGTCCCCGCTTCACCTACACCACGCTCACATGACTGATCATCCCTCCTAGTCATAGAACCTAATGAGTAAATGCCTATGTACTTGCCCCCAGCCCCTGCTAATGATTTTCTTAATCTATAGCTCAAAACATCTTTACTAGGATAGTTTATCAAAGGGGTGGTGAGGGGCATCCTCCTTCCCTGGTTTCCGGGCAACCTGGGGTCATTTCCCCCACACCCAGCGAAGACAGACTGCCTTGTCCTGCCTGCCAACATGCAGTGCCTCTCCAGAACCCTTTTGTTTCAGACGTGGAAGATTGCTTATCCATGAAACCACTGATGTCTCTGTTGCTGACTCTGGACTCTTTCACGAAAGATGCATGGTATGATGTGTGTCCTCAGTTGTGTCTGACTCTTTGCAACCTCATGGACTGTTTGCAACCCACCAGGCTCCTCTGTCCATGGGATTTTCCAGGAAAGAATACTGGAGTGGGTTTCCATGCCGTCCTCCAGGGGATCTTCCCCACCCAGGGGTCAACCCCATGCCTCTTGCATCTCTTGTATTGGCAGGCAGATTCTTTACCACTAGAGCCACCTAGGAAGCCCATTTCATGAAAGATGGAGAGACTTTAATTTTGTGATGGACAGGGAAGTCAGGAGCATGGTGACTTTGGGAGGGAAAAGTGGTGGGTTTGTGTTTTTATGAGGCAGCAGTGTCTGTGTAGATACTGTCCAAGAGGTGGTGGAGATGTAGCCAGTTGTAGGTACTCATGAGAATTCTGGGATTCTTGCCAATTTCTGGGGGCACTTATGAATCCAACACAAAGCCAACTTTTTGTACAAAATTCTCCAATGGGAAATAATTTCCTTTTTACTCTGAGGCTTATTCCACTTAAGTGAAAGTGAAAGTCACTCAATCGTGTCTAACTCCTTGTGACCCCATGAGCTATACAGTCCATGGAATTATTCAGGCCAGAATACTGGAGTGGGTAGCTGTCCCCTTCTCCAGGGGATCTTCCCAACCCAGGGATCAAGCCCAGGTCTCCTGCACTGCAGGCAGATTCTTTACCAGCTGAGCCACCAGAGAAGCCCAAGAATACTGGAGAGGGTAGCCTATCCCTTCTCCAGCGGAGCTTCTGGACCCAGGAATCAGATTGGGGTCTCCTGCCTTGCAGGCAGATTCTTTACCAACTGAGCTACCAGGGAAGCTCTAATTCCACTTAATGAAATGTCAGTGAGTTGAAATCTATCTCTCAAAAAGATACATTAAAGTCTTACCCTCAGTACTAGAACCTGACCTTATTTGGAAATATAGTCATTGCAGACACAATCAGTGAAGATTAAAATGAGGTCACACTACGTACATGGGGTCAGCTCATTCAGTATGACTGCTGTCCATATAAGATGACCCTGTGAATGCCTGTGAAAATGGAGGTGGAGTTGGGGTGACATGGCAACAAGCCAAGGCCAAGGATCACCAGCAGGTCACACACACCACAAGCTAGGAGACAGGCATGATACAGGTTCATAAACAGAAGGAATCCACTTTGCTTGCATCTTGATTTCAGGCTTCTGGCCTCCAGAATTAAATGCTTAAAGTGCATTTCTGTTGCTTTAAGCCACCCAGTTTGTGGTGATTTGTTTAGCAACCCTAGAAAACCATAATATGGGGCCATAAGGAACCCTGGCGATTGATGCTGTCTGAGATGATGTGGTTCCCTGGTAAGATGCAACAAATGACTTTTTACCTGCTCAGCTTTGTAGACAGTTTCTCATCCTCTCTGAACCTCAGCTTCCTCATTTGTGAGATGGAGATCATGGTACCCACCTCATACTGCCAAGAAATCCTGCTAAGAGGATTTCTCCGTAGAAACTGGATGCAGAGAGCCTGGCATAGAATGTTACGTCCTCTATTAAAGCACTACCTCTTCTTTGGAGCTAATTATTAATGACCTTGAGGGGAAACGCCATCATTTCTCAGAGCATTCATTCAGAATTATGTTGACCAGAGTCTGGAAGTAGCAAGAGGCAAACACTGAACATGATTTACTGTAAATCAGAATCAGTGGGTTCAAAATGAAAGACGTCATCTTCCCCAGAAACCAGCTCCTCACTTCCCTGTTTTCGTTGCTCAGATGCAGATGACCCTGGCTCCTCTCATTCCTATTTCTAGCCCATTTTACCCAGTTTCTATATTTTCAAAACTTTTTTTGACCATGACCCAGGAGATGTTGATGTACATGTGAAACAATAGCTTTATTTAAAAATACTTGTACCAACAAGGACCTATTGTATATAGCACAGGGAACTATACTCAATATTTTACAACAACCTATAATGGAAAAGAATCTGAAAATGAACTTTACATATATGAACACTAAGAAAATTGTTATATATTATTACATATTAATGCACATAAGAACATTATAAATATGTATAGCTGAATCCCTTTGCTCTACACCTGAAGCTAACACAATATTGTCCATCAACTGTACTTCAATAAAAAGAGAGAGACAGGGACTTCCCTTGTGGTCCAGCAGTTAACACTCCACACTTCCAATACAGGAAGCACAGGTTCGATCCCTGATCAGGGAATGAAGATCCCACATACTATGTGGCGTGGTCAAAAATAAAATAAAATATTGATTTTTTTAAAAAGAGAAAAAAATTTGTGTTCTTATGTAGGATGAACTTTGACATTTTCTATTTCAATTTGTGTGTGTATATCTCCACTTTTAAAAAAGAATGATGTATGTTTAATTGTTTGTAACACTGGTCTGCTTTTAACCCACAGGACACTGGGTGGAGATGTCCAGTAGATGGTTAGATGTGTAAAGGAGAGGACTGTGATATGCCATTAAAATAAAAAGACACTTTATCCCATGAGAATGTCTGGGCTGAGCCAGGGAGAGGGGTGGGTTGAAGAAAGTGCGGGGAGTCCAGGATAGAACCTGGGAGCACCAGCCCTGGGGGCGAGTAGAGTATTGGGATTCCCCAAAAGATGGAGAAGCGCTATTTGGAGAACCTCAAAGAGAGACAGGACAAAGTCAAGTTAAAATGGGGACAAAGGACACAGAGAATTTTGAGGTGGGAAAAAAATTTTTTTTTTAATCTGGGTTAATTGGAACCACTAAATTGATATTAATTTCACAACCCACTATTGTGTGGTATCTTACAGCTTAAAACACATGAAATTCTATCAGTCTTACCTGCGAAATATCTTTTTTAACCTTTCCATTGCTGTGGCCACTCAAATCAGAACCTCCTGTCTCCACTGGCCTCCTGCAATAACCCCTCCCCCTCCTGATCCCTCTGCTTTCCGTCGGCCTGACCCTGTCTCTGTCCTTCACATACATCCTCCCTGTCCTGACCCCGCTGCTGGCCGAACCTCCAAGTCCTGCCCTGTGGAGGAGCCTCATCTTGCTCTTCTGGGTCTTTCTCTCTGATCACCGCCAGGTATCCGCGTGCTGCTTCTACACATTCTTGATGTATTCTTGGTTGTGGCAGTGTCCCAGGAGGTGAACTCGTTATGGGAATCCCACTTCCCTCTCCTAAGGATTAAGAAGGAGATGACAGAGGACAAATGGTTGGATGGCATCACCGATTCGATGGATATGCGTTTGAGCAAGCTATGGGAGATGGTGAAGGATAGGGAAGCCTGGCTTGTTGCAGTCCATGGCGTCACAAAGAGTCAGACAGGACTGAGGGAATGAATAGCAACAACAGGGATTAAGATAAGGGTGGGTGTGCTGGCCTTTCCTGGTGGTCCAGTGGTTAAGACTTTATGCTTCCACTGCAGGGGGCTTCCCTGGTCTTGGAACTAAGAGTCCACAAGCCCTGTGCTGCTAAAAAATAAATAAATAAATAAGAGTGGGTGTAGTCCTGTTGGGGGACTAAGGGGAAGAGATTTTTATAGCCTGATAAAGAGTGGGAGTGATGTATGGGAGCGGAAGTGGCCACCTCCTCTTTCTTCTTGTGACTGACAGTGGGCGGGTGATATCACAGAAGCAGCCATCTCTCCATGGACAGGCAGCCCTGACAAGGACTAGAACAGGCCTTGATGACAGCGTGCGGCTGCAGGACCAACCCTGACACCGCCTACTTTTGGTTCAGTGAGGGAATAACTGACCTTGTTTAAGGCACTTTTCAATCAGTATTCTGATACTT